CGAAACAGATATCCTCCAAACATTCCCCAGTGTCCCAAAATGTAACCCAGTGCCAATGCCTCAGGTATTCCTTCTACCAAGTCACAGGGACCTCCCTTTATTATTTTCAACAAATAGTATGCCAAAACTGAGCTCTTCACAATAATTTCTTAAACAATATAAAAGAAGTATAAAAACAAAACGAAGTTGTCATACTTCTGTCATCACTGTAGTAATGCGTGAAGACTATACACAGAAGTGATTTCCTGCAACTGAAATACCTTAAAATACCTTTTTACAATGTCTCTGGGACAAGCATTAGCCAATTATTCACCACTTCCTGGGAAGCAAAAGAGGAATCCCTGGAAAATAACATTGTTGTTCCCATTTTGCATTGATTGTTTCTTTGTTCCAAGGAAACAGAGAAGGTATATCCTGAACTAGATGTATTTCTGCTGTCATGCAACATTCCTCTTCTAACGTTGGCAATTATCTGAGCATCAGCTATCAAAATAAATTGGAAAGAAATAATGATTATCCTAAGAATACATACGTTCTTTCCCATACCTGTATCACCTGGAACCAGATGAGTTGCTTGTGCTCAAAGCCAGAAAGCAACTGGGTGCTATTTCATAATATATACCTGCTAGCGCTACATTTAAAATTTGCATTCTCTTTTTTTTTTTTTTACCATCAGGAAGCCAAACAAGGCCTTTATTCTTCATCCATGAATTTTCATTGCAGATGCAAATGGAGAAGGCCAAGGGAGGTGGTTTGTTTGTTTATTCAGGGACCTGAAATCTCTCTTCTAAGGACAGATGGAGAAAAGTAGCAACAGTGTAATCTGTCTAGCTCTTCAGGTCAATAATATAGACACACTCGTGCAACGTGAGGGTTTCTTTTATTAGCTGACAGAACCGTGAAAATTGAAAATAATGGATGATTTTGATCGAGCCTGTGCACTTGTTAGCCAATGTTCTAGTAAAACAAAAAGGCTGAAGTCAGTATAGGGTATTAGTTATAGGTCTAATTTAATCAGGGTATAGGTCTAATTTGGTACCACACCAAATTCCAGAGTTAGAGGGCTGAGATCCATCCATGCCCCTGAAACATCACAGGAAAATTCTGGAGGCCTCTTCTAACATTCTTTCTGAGGAATCAAAGTGCCACTTTTCTACTTTAACAGGATGGCTGTTCTACCTACCCCTGTTCTGGATGGCATTGGACATAGCCGGACACCTGCAGACTCCATGAACAAGCAGTAGGGAACAAACAGCTTCCACTATTTGTTTCTTACAGCATGGGAAGATCACTATTTTGATTCCTGCTGTCACATAAGCATAATGGGGCAAAAATGCTGTTGAAAAAAAATACTAATGGGCACCAGTTTCAGGTGCCCAAACCGAGGCAAGACTGAACGAGTAAACAGAACCTACTGCATCCAGGTTTCCCTATACCATTGAATGAATATTTCACAATGATATTAACATTAAACTGCAGAAAAAAAATCAATTTTCACAGTGAGCTGCGCAAAGAACCTTTTTCTCTGCCTGGGAGAGCGTGGAAGAAATGTGTCTGGTGATCTGACATCCTCCTCTTAGTGACAAAGCTGCCAACTCCTGGAGTGAACATGTTCAAGTGCTTTCTTTCAATTTATCTTGCATTCCCATCAAAGGACAGCTAGCTGCTTCCTGCAAAAACTGTTGACTTACTTAAAGCAGAAATAAATTACCGTCCTTGCCAAGTGGCCTTTGCCTTGTAAAAAAAAAAAAAAAATACAGCTGTTATAAAGCACTGATCATTTATCTACTGATAAATTAGTTTAAAATTAATTCCATCATTTCATTTTGTCTGCTCTGTACTCCATGAGAACACACAGTTCTACTGCCCCACTCCAAGCAGTGAGCCTGCTTTCTTCTTTCAGGCAGCGGGACCCTACTTTAACACGGGTATGGCAGCATTGTTCCATCAGTGCCTCAGAGAGAGGCACTCATGTTAACAATTTTCCATGGCTTCATTTTCTGAAGGCCTATTTTATGTGCAAAGACTACATACTTTCTAATGTAACATCATCCAGGAGAAAGTGCAAACCACGAGAAAGAAAAATCCTGTGAAGATATATCAGCATTGTTAAAACTCAGAAGAAAACTTTTCGTATACCCTCATACTTTGACTTATTTCATGAAGTGTAAGACATGCAAAGAAGTGCAGAAGTAGAAATTAAATGCTCCAAATTTATCTAAACCAGATGCTCCGAATGAATCCAAAAACTGCAGAGCCTTTTAATTTTTTTGGCTGCACTTACTTTATCCTACTTGATTACCAGTCCCTGTAGAGTTTGTCTCTGTGAAGTGTAACTGCAAATTGGTTTCCAGGATCAGGGAAATGCTATTGAAGTGTCTGGACAGCATCATTTCCATCAGCACTGCTAAGTTATTGTACTTACTATTGGCTGCTGGTGGGTCAGATCTAATAAGAAGTATCTTTTTGTTTGTCTCCTGTCACTAGAACTGGCAGCTTCAGAATATCAAACGGTAAGTTTCTGTATTCTATTGGAAATAAATATGGTACTTATCCATGCTACCTTCTATCTCCTACCACTCTGCTATTCTGCAATGGCAGGTAGCCATTAAACCACTTGGGAATTCGGCTCTCTTTCATTTGTCTTATGACTGCAGGCAGGTCACAATTTCTTTCCACCACTTTATTTGCTATAACTCACTGTAAAAATGGATATGCTGTATACACAAAACAGTCAGATAGTTTCAGCTTCAGTTTGTATCCTAGAACCTACTGGAATTTTATCCTCTGCCATGCTGCTGTGCTAATCCTTGTTGCACAGAAACTACAGATAAGCTTTGGAGGCAGCCTTGCTTTTACATAGCTTTTATGCCTAGCAGCCCATATTCACGAGCTGCAGCGAATTGTGTGCAGGCTCCAGGAAGGATCGAGGCGCAGGAGCACTGTGCACTTCATCAGCTCAGCACTGAGGTGTATCCCGCCTCAATCAATTTAAATTCCATAAATCAGAGATTATGGTTGCTAGGAGTTCAGTGATACAGTTACAATTATAAACCTTTAAAAATCCTAAATCTAGCTTTTTGTTACAAAGTATGGGTAAATCTGGGTACCCCAAAATAGTGTTAACAGAAGCTAGCAGAAACAAAGCTGATTCTTGCTGAAATAGCCAGTGTGGAATGGATTGCAGTAAAGACAACTGCAGCCAAATAAAAGCACCCTTTTCTGCCCAGGACTGACAGTCAAGTGACCTTTCCCAGAAGCAACCAGCCCAGCCTTTTTCTTCACAATCATTGCAAGGTAGGCCCAAGGCCACAGTCTTCTCTTTTTTCCACTTGTGGAGTTCTATTTTGAGAAAATTGTTACATCATCCTTGGCACAAACAGCTCCTGTCCCAGCTGCACCTGTCACAGGGCTCCAGAGCCAAACTCCTGTCTTACCACAATTCCCAGTCTAGTAAGTGACACTTAGTTAAACTCAGACCCACTCCAAAAAAAACAGAAATATTTTTCAGCTTCTCTGTGCAAAGGTTAACAGCCCCAAACCAGCCCTGTTTACAGCACAGGTCACAAAAAAGGGGTACGTAGGGCAGTTCAGCTGCTCGCCCATAGATGGCACAGACTCTCTTTGGCTGCCCATCGGCATTCCACCTGGCTCTCTTTCCGAAACGCCTGGGCTTCACATAGCTCTTCTATTACTTAGCTGTCAGCTTTGCACGTGTGTCTCACTCAACCAGCAGTGCCTATGCTGAGGTAGAACCTGAATCTTTAACTCCAGCTTTAAAAAAAAAATAAAATGGAGAGATTTCCTCCTGTTTGCAGTGATGACATGAATAAATGATGGGCAGACTTCCACAGGTGCTCAGCATTCAGCATTTTTTTCATCTCAATACACACAAAGCATTGAGGTTGGAGCATTTATCCTCACATGTATGATTTCATCTCGTGGGATATTACAGCTGAAACTGTTTGTACTGAAATCATTTTTAGTACCTCTCTAGCAAGCAATACGTATTTTTCAGTGGAGATGTCTTGGTGCTTGTTTCTGCACTTCATGCAACAAAAAACCTAGGCACGTACTTAAAGCTTAGCTCTTCATCGGTAAAAAAGAATCAGAAGGCAACTGAGCATGGGTTTTCCTTTTGTGACTTGATCAGGATCTGTGCTCAGCTGACAAGTGCTGAGCTAATGTTACCAGTGTGTTAACATGGGAGGAATTTTGTGGGTGTTGGTGTGGTTCTATGCATCAAGCATGGGAGGAGATGCTCGCAGCACCTGGAGAGAATGAAAATGCTAAAAAAAGACAAGCCAGCAGAGACAAGAGAATCTGCAGTACGAACCAAAGGAACACACTGTGAGGACGGCACCTCCCACCACTGGCCACCATGACCTGAGGCCTGGCAGCCTGCCTTTTTTTCCCTGTTTCTTTTCCAAATGCATGTATGTATGCACACACAGCTCCAAGCACTTTGCTATCTCTTGCTATCTCAGGGCCTAATGAAGTAAAATTACAACTTGAAATTCTACTGTTCTTCTCTATTCGTAATAGTACTGTAAGGAAGGACAAAACGTGCTGCTATCCAGTCGATTAACTTCCCCTTTCATCTTTTTTACTTAAGTGCTATTACTGCTCGTGCTTCCCAGATGACACACGAATACGGGTCTGTGCCTTCCTGCCGCATGAAAGATGCGTGCAGTGCTGCCGCCTCCTGGTCCCACAGCGACAGCAGCTGGTCCCAGGTGGGTGAAAGAGCAGCTGGATAGAAATCAGCTTCAGCTTAAATCAAACATTTCATAAAGGCACTGTGGATGTTTTAGAGGACTTTAATAAATATATGATATATATATCATATGTATGTGTGTGTGTATGTATATATATATATATATATAGTTTTCTAATCAATTGCATTTCATGGAATAAAATGAAAAAAGCTGACAAACTGAGTGATTATTAGAAACAGAATACACAGTTTTATCAAATACGTGTGCATACTTAAATCTCTTGTAAAGTTATACACTTATGGGTAAAGGAGACTGACTCTAGCCGTATGTGATGCACATTTAAAATACATGTTATATAATCGATAGGCAATTTAATGTGTACACTAATAATCGATAGGCAATATTTAATGTGTAGACTAATAGCTAGTATTTAACACAGACTAATGAATGCTTGTGGTGTTCTTACAGAATGTTGTTTAACAGCTGCCTATATGATGTTAAAAAGTAGTATTTAGTAACCATTCCTATATTTTAAGAAATGACCTTTCTAAATTTTGTTTGTAAAAAAAGTGGGTATACATGCATATAGTATTTTCCTCACTATTATTCCATTTAATATCTATTGGTACGTAAAGTGTTCTGCCACATGCATCTTCCTTACAGCAAAATACAAATGCCAAGGGATATCAATTGATGTCAATAATCCTCAATTGCACACAAATCATGATTACTGATTAGTAAAGCAATTATCATATTAAAAGAGTTCAACAGGGCTCAACATACTGTAAAATTAGAAATCAGTCAATAGCACAGCCATTATATAGAACAGCATTGATTGGATGTACTGAATGCTAGCCTTGATGACAATTGATCAGAATGAACCCTTCTCACAAAGGAGTCTGGTACACTAATTGAGAAGCCATCATTAAATAGAATAGATAATCAAGAAGGAGAAAGGGGGGAGGAGAAATGGATACAAAGCTAAGAGAAACAATAGAGAGAAACAATAAAAAGAAAAGAGCAAAGAACACCTCTGTCCCTATACTAGTTCCTGAGAGTACTTCTCCAAAAGCAGATGATCCTAAGAAACCCCCACAGGTCATCTCTATAATCTGTTTCAAAGCTGGGGAACGTGTTCGAAATCACACAAACAATTCAGAAACAATTCAAAAACAGTTTTTCCACCACAAGCATTTCCAAAAGCAAATCATCCTTAGAGTATAAAATTCAGAGGTTCTGTCTGCAGTGCATCTGTGACCTAACTTCACTGGTCTACTTGAAATCAGGCCTCAAATGACACAGCCCTGGAAAGCTGCACAGGCTGCCCTGCTGTTTTGACTGCTGCTCCAAGAAATAGGTGGCAGAAACAAGACCAGAACATCTTCTGTATTACAGTGCCTTCAGCATTACATCGAATTTCTAAGTACAAATGAAACAAACCTCTCTGCATTATAACGAAATGTTAAGAAGGATGTTCAGAAAAGAGTCTTTTAGTGCCAACTAGATGGCACTATTCACATTACTTTTAATGCACATTTCTTACAATACATAGAGAGAGTCCCTGAAAACATGCAAAATGGACTTAATCAGGTAGTTAGGAAAGAGAGAGGATCAGCAGGTCAGCTGAAGTCAGAGAGAAGAGCACTGCAGATGTTCCTAAGGATAATGCAGCTGCAGAAGAGACATTTGGACAACAGAGGATTAAGAACTCTGTAGTCACAGCAGTCAGTCTTCACATGCAAATGCATTAAAGGATGATGAGTGGTTTTACCAAACTCTGACTAAATTCTCAGAGTCCAAAAGGTCACGAAGTTACTTATCACTATGTCTTCTAACCATCTGTAACGTTTCTCTTGATATAAGTAAGATTTCTCATGTCTGAGCTAGGCATTGTCTTAATGAACAGCAGGGCATTTAGGCATCCCTTACACAGTGTTGCCAAACATTATAGAAAACAAAGTCACACCTCAAGACTTCTGGTCCTCTCTGATCTTCGATAACATAAGTGTTCTTGGAGGGCCAGGGAATTTAGAGAAGCTGTCTAAAAAAATGGTAAATTAGGGCAATGACAGTCAATTACACATAAACTCACTGGAAAGTTAAAAAGCTTCAAGTTACTTTATGTTATTAGCAGAGCAGCACAATATACTTTAAACATGAGAATTGATTATATCCAAATAACTCTTGTTACTCCAGAGGTTAAAACCCAGAAATAAGAACCAGGCCCTAAAGTCATTTCGTTCTGCACCTATAATGTAAACGTAGAGACGGTTTACGCTTTTACCACAAGTTCTACTCCCCCCCAAGGAAGACACAGGCAGTAGTAACACGAGCATCTCAAAAGCTGCTTTCAAGTGACTTCTTTACAAGCTCCAGTGTTGGAAGTATACCTGAGAAAGGACATTTTTTGAGTGCTCGATCCACTGGAAAAAAGAAAAATTACATAAGAAATAAGTTGCAGTTTCCCAGCTTCCCACTCAGAAGTTATCGTGAGAACATGATCTTTTTACTGCCATCACATCCTCCTGCTGGAGGAGGAGGAGGACATGGTTGTTTTCCAAAAGATCATAGCCAAGCAACTCCTCCATAATGCTAGCGCTCTGAGTGCAGTAAACAATTATGGTTAAAAGTGCCTGCCAAAGGCCACTGCTGACAACTGCAAGTGGAATACAGAACATGCATAGAATATCGAGGGAAAGGAGAGGGAGAGATGGAGGGTAGGTTAAAAAGCAACTATAAAAACAAGAAACAATTCTTCTAAGCATGGTAAGACAGTAGTCTCCATTTGAAGTCAGGCTAGCATTCACACCTCAGCTATCACTGAGAAGCTGTTGGGTTCAACATTTGCTTTAAATGTCACTGCATAAAAAAGTACCTCTTTGACAAAGTGTTTAGCTTTTTCTTGTCAAGATAGTCAAAAGATGGCAGAGAAAACAGACAGAAAGACACACACACACCCTGTGCCCACTCCTTCCACAGCTGAACAAGTGATGTGTGATACTTGCAGATTCAAACATGCAAGATGAGTTATAACTGTAACAAGGATCACACATCCAACAGCTCTCCTCCTTTCAGTGAGCTGGGGAAGCATTGCATGACAGGTAGAGAGGGACATCATCTCCTATTGTCTTCTAAAAACATAGTCCAAATGAGAAAATTTGTGTTACAACAATTCTGATCTCGCCATCTCTTTCCTTCTCTGTCCTTTCTTTGTGCCTATTCTGTCTCCCCTTCCAACTCTGAGCAAGATGAAGCGACATGGTAAAGCAAAAGTCATAGGCCCAATACGTATTTTAACCCTCTACATAGAACTACAATTTCTGCTAGTGCCTTAAAGACATCTGCCACACAGAAAAAAATATTTTCTGTTTTAAACTCTGGCACGCTGAAGAGATTTAAGTAGTATTATTTAAGATTTAAGAAGCAATAATTACAACAGAACATAGTGGAAGCCATGACGTAGGTTTTCCTTAATTTGTGCAATGCATTCAGACAGACACAGAAAGAAATATAGGAAAATCAGAAGACAAAATATAAATTTTAAAATATATTTTTCCACACCACTGTCCTTGGCTTTCACCAAATGATCCTCATGTCACACAAGCAGGCACCTGGAACACGTTGCCATGGCTGCTGTGCTGCTGTTAGTCAGTGGTACAGTGGGAAATATCCTACCTGGCAATCACTTGTCTTGTGACATGGAGAGTAAAGTCAGCAAGTGCTTTTTTCCCCTTCTGACATCCAACACTTCATCTGCACCTTGGAATTCTGAAAACATTATGGTGAACTGTTCCACGTCTTCTCACAGGGCAAGCGTATCTCTACAACAACACAGTGCCTGCAGCTCACAGGAAAACAGCTAAACAAGGTGCTGATGCAGGTTGTGAAGACATATGTTTTATTAGTAGTTAAGAAATTACCAGTTAAGACTCTAAGTAACTTAAAGATTTCTTTAAAACACGTGTTCTAACGAACCTAGGTAATTTTACTGCAGATTCTTCACATTCATCATTGAAGAGAATTTCACAAGAATCTCATAAATGCTCCTATTTTTAAACCAATATCCTTATTTGAAATAAAATACTGTTTGTTCGTGGCTTCTCTACTGTGTCATAAGCAAAATATCTGACAGGGACAGCAGGAAGGAATTTTAATATAAAAAAAGCCCATTTTCCACGAGGATAAGTCCAGTCAAAAAAACAGGAGATAAAATAAATAACATTTAGTAAACATTTCCATTTCCCACAAACCCATTTTCTGTCACTAGCTGGCAATATTTTTTCTGTTGCTCTTCCTTGAAAGACTCTTTGACTTTTTTTCTTTTCAGTCCTCCATCCCTGAAAAATACAGATAAGGAAATGGCCTTCAGTTCATGTCAGAGTAAAGGTAGAAAAACGTTACAATAATTACAGTGCTTAATAAGAGCAACTTTCACCCTAGATGCTGGCTTTTGCAATGCTACACTAAATGATTTGTTCTGCCAAGATCTATCACGCTATGAACAAGTGCCACCCTTTAATCTGATGTTTAACAAACAAAGTGTTTATTCTCACCAAATTCCACTTTCTGGTTGGAACTACCTGTCAACTCTGTTTATCTTTTTATACTTTATTAGTCTACCTATACTAGTAAAGCTGTTCACAAAATAAGGAAATAGTGCCTCACTCAGAGTCTGTAAGGGTGACGGACTACAGCCAAGCAAACAAAACAAGGAAGAAGTTTTAAAAGGAATCCAGCAATAAGTTTTAGATTACAAAACACCTAAATACGCTTTCAGCTCATTTTCAAAGACGTTCCCTCTTACCATGGAAGTACAGACATTCCTCCCCGAGCAGCAATGACAGCCTTGACTCTGTTGGCAAAGTGAACAGCATCTTCTTCTTCCTGTAAAAGATACCAGTGACTTGCTGTGCAGTTGAAATGTTTTCTCTATGTCTCACTTGAAGAGACACCTTGTGTCAGAAAATAGGCATCAGATACACTTCAGCTGCTCCTCAGGAATGCTAACTGCCTAGACAGCATGCTGAGTTTGCCATCATCCAATGCGAAGAGAGCAAAGTGTGAGGCTCTATCCCTTCCGTGGCAATTCAAAGTAACTTGTAGAACAAGGTCACAGGTCTGGACAGAGCATGGGAATGTATGTGCACCCAGTACCTTGGTACCAATCTAACCCCAGGAAGCTGGAAACACACTCAAAGGATCACCTTGGAGGACGTGAGGTGCCTTGAACAGAGCTGGGGCCAGATACCACAGTACCAGTGAATTTTCATGGGCCAGCGAGGGTCTGTTTGCTCCACTGCAGAAGACACTCAACTGGCTGTTTCCAGTATCCCACACAATCTCTTTATGCCAGAAAGAAAATAACCGCACAGAGAAATGACTATAAAGTATTAAATTATTTAAATTGGTCTGACTTGCAGGGAGCTAGTAAATTGTGATTCTGAAGCAGATAGAAGCTACCAAATGAAAACTCTAGACAGAATTTTAGAAGATTATTCACTTTTTGGAACTTGCTCACTAGGTAAGGAAAAGTGCTGTGTTCTCTAGTAAAAAAATTAAAAATAAAAATAAAGACCAGCAAAAAAGATAACCTTCCGGACCTAAGATCCATCTACCCCTTCTTACAGCTACTGTTATACCTTCTCAAGTCTATTACAATTAAAGGACTTTTTTTTTTTAAAATTTCTAAATAGATGGATGGTATATAAACCTATGTGTTATAAATGTTTTGTATACCTGGTTAGCCAAGAATTTCAGCAAGAAGCATGCTAGAAGATGCAAATCCATCTTCCAAAATTTTGCAACTTTGTTTTGTTAAGTGTGCAGTTTCTCTTGCAGCAGGCATGTATGAATGGTGACCATACTTCAAGTGTGCAGTTACAAGGACTCTGAGATATCCATGCATAGCTATGTGACTATGGTACAGGTACAGGAAGTTTACAACCTTCACAGAAATTAGCTTAATTTATGTAAAGAGTGCACCATGAACCTTAGAGATGGAAATAACAAAACCAACATAATAAAATGAAATTACTTTCAGAGCAGCCCTCATCTTGCTCTCATTATCCTAATAGGCTACACATCCTGATTTACAATCTCTACTTAATTTTAGGAGTACAGTGTCACTTCCTACTTTTTCCATTACACTGTCAATAAAGACTTGCTGACATCATGACAACAGTAATGCAGGTTTCCTCTTAGAAACAATTTGTGAGCATTTCTAAAACACAAATGCATAAGTACCTCTTTGACCATTGGTGGCAGGTACCACACATTGCAGACAATAGCCCAGCTGGTCAACACATTAAAACCATAGGTCATCATGGAATACTTGGTGCTGTTCCAGAACGCATCTCCAAATCGAGGGTCATACTGGAAGACAAGAACGAGCTGAAGGGCTCAGACTGCTCTCTAGGCGGTACGTTAAGTTGTACAGCAAACACACAGAACGACAAGGGCAGAGGTGACAGCAATCAGAGATGATCCAGAGATAAAAGAAGCACTACGATGATGATCCAGTAGAAGAGCACAAAAAGATACGATGGCAGAAGTTGTATGATGTCAGTTCTGAAGAAAGACAACCCAAAGGCTTAGAACACCCAGCACACGCAGAATAAGAGCACATCCTTGACTATATACAAGTGCAGCTGTGCTTAGTTCGGATCATATAGGCAGGTTTTTTTGTTTGTTTGTTTTTGTTTTGTCTTTTTTGCCATAATATAATGACTTGTTACATGAGGGACAAATCACCTCCTGGAAGTAATTATAGTTCAAAGCTCCATGCTTTAGCATTTGTTGCAAGTTAATACAAGTTAACCTGTATATCCTGGCAGAAGAAAAGGGCCAACAGTACCCAGTGGTGAAACAGACACAGCGCTGATGGTTGAGGGAAGGGATTGCCTGCAGCAAGCTCCCCAGGGCAGTGATCATGGCACCAAGCTGCCAGAGTTCAAAGAGCATTTGGACCCTGCTCTCAGACATTGGGTTTTAATGTGGGACGGTCCTGAGTTGAGCTCAGCCCCTGGCACTATGATCCTTGTGGGTCACCTCCAACTCAGGATATTCTGTAATTCTAAGAACCTTTACAAGTAATACAAGACCCCAAACTAGGACAGACCCACTGAAACAAATCTTAACTATAATCAGATAGAGCTACTCAACATGCAAAGATTTATCTTCTACAGATGTGCTGACTTGAAAGGTTTACTTGATAATGCTCACACTACTTGTAAAAATTTCCATAAGGTTATGCAATGTTATAGCTTCAGGAAAAGGAAGTCATGTATCTACAGCCAGAATGACTTGGCTAAAGCTTATTAGAGAGACTTGCAAGTGCCAAAGGAATAATTCAATTACTAGTGCCTTTATCCATCATGAGCCAGGAACACCAGAATGGAAAGACCAGGTAGAACTAAACACACAGCATCGTACTTTACAAGCTGTTCCTAAGCCATTCAGCATTTTCCATACTTACCTTGATAGCTACCGGATGGATGATCCCTCCTACTTCAAAGCTTCCCTTCTTAAACATCATAACTGACGTGTTGTTTATGCAGGTACCTGGCCAGAATGGAAATGAGTGAAAAGTTCAGTCCATTCTGCAAAACAACATCAGCAAATGCATATTATATTGCCTTAAAGAGAATGAAGTTGCTAGAAGAGAAAAAAAATCTTTCATTCAGAAACATAATTCCATTATATTATGCTCCTAGGTAAGAGACTAAGAAGCAAAAGGGTTAATGTGTCAAACACTTGGTAGAAGTGTAAAATCAGCACTGAACCAGATAAGGAGTAAGATAAAGAGTGATCGGAGGAGGAGGGTCTTGTGAAGGAGGAGAGTCAGTTTGTGATAATATGAATATCTGTTGAATTACAAAACAAAAATTGAATTACAACAGGAAAATTTAGTAGGAAAAGGAGAGATCTGACAAACTACACCTTCACACCAAAGAGGGTCAACTAGTAGTCATCTGGGCAGAGGGAGAGTGAGACTTCCTGAAGCCCCTCTTACTCACTCCCCGAATAGTCTAGATCTCAAATATCAAGTTGTACTGGGGCAGGGGTAAGGCCCTGCCTTGATCACAACGTTACAGGGGGCCTGACAGCCACATGAGACCCCAGACTTATTTACAACTGCTGACTGAACCACTTCTTGGGGGGCAGGTCACAAGCATGTGAAAGGCAGAATACCGCCAGTTCAGGTATGCACCCACCACAGGAAGAGCAACCGTGTCTACACTGCAAGATCCCAGGGTGGAGATAGCTCATTTCTTTGTTTTATTCTTTCCTCTCTCTGTCTGTCTGCCTGTCTCTCTCTCTCTCCCCAAGTCACATTACAACATAAAGCAAGCCATACTATATCTTATCGGCAATAAGCTATGATAGATACTTAAATCAAAATACCATAGTGGGATACAAATGAACATTTAACTGATCATTTGGTGTCATTTCACCTTAATTTACTCCAAATGATTCTTGAACTCTGTGATCTCCACACGTTACTCAGAGTAGCTCAGAGTCAGGTTGCAACAGACTAAACAAAATAAACTGTCATAAAATTGTGTTACATAGTAGAATCTCACTTTTAATATCTCACAAGAGCTCACTAATTCTACAACAAACTCCTCTAAAGATTAGACATGATAAACTGCACTCAGTGTAAAGTGAGCAAAGCAATACAGAGTTGGTTCCTACCTTCGGGAAAAATTAGAATGGGTAATTTGGCCTTGTCTGCAATGTGTTCTCTGATTCTGTGGAGAGAAAATAAAATTTCAATGTACACTTCATTACTGCAGAAGACTCATATTTCTATGTGGTTGGGAATCTAAATATGGATTCTCTCTTACATAGAACAGGAAAAGCTCTTGCCTAGTAGTTCTTAGACAGACAGTGGTCTCAGCAAAGATGTGCACTAGTTTCAGGCCTTGAGGGTTTTCTCTTGCTAAATATGTAAATAGATTTTTCACCAAAAAAATCTTTGACAGGTTCTAGTAATGAATAATGTTGAATTTTTGTTGACCACTGTTTTGCTTTTTTAATAAACAATATTCTATATTTTAAAGCTTTGCGCTGATGCATATATATATACACACACATACACCTAATGTTTTCCACATCTATATGTGAGAAACGAAGCTATTTTACTGCATTTTCCTTATTACTTAAAAACAACTGCTTTTAAGCAAATAATCCACTTAAGCAGATTACTGACACACAAAATCTATCCGTTTTCATGACACCTATCTGTCTTCCCTATGAATCAAGAGCCTACAGTTCCTCTGAACTCCATGTAAAAGAGTATAAACAAAACATCAAATACCAAAAAAACCCAAAAACAGATCTGTCCAGTAAAGGGGCACCTTTTCCCTTTCCTAAGGACTAATTGCCATAAGTGCTTTCACACTGTTTCACAAGTTTCATGTTAGCTGCATTGCACCCTATGTCATTAACATTTCAGATGACTAAGAGGACCTAAGACACCAACAAATGGCATAACAAGTCTATCATTTTCATGTCCTTAAAAGTCTAATACACCTTCTCTGCCAGGAACAGTAGTGCAGGGTTTTGGAGCAGTGCAGGCATTAGGTACTAACACTTTTCCAAGATGCTCTTCCAGCTTCCAGCAGCTAGGTGGTACCGCCTACGAACTTGTTTAATTCCTTTTGCAGATTTGGAGTGCCAGACAGCTGAGTACTCTGGATGTTTCTAATGAGCTGCAACTCGCTTCCTCAGATAGTCTACCAATCTCCACAAGAAAATAGGTAAGCCCGATGTTAATGTTTGCTATTGTCAGCTTTCCTTTCTCCTGTACTTACAACAGACATAACCAGATTTCTGATGCTCAGAGCTTTTGGGAAAACGTGCAAAGGTAAGGCATGATCTAGGAAAATGATATGCTGACAAGAACTCTGATGTTGGTCCTGACATCCAGAATCATAAACTTTGAAAATGAATGAGCAGGCATCTGCCTGTGGCAAGCAGCCTGATTGTGCCAATGTGGAAATTCACAGAGATTAAAGGACAAACAATCAGAAGCTCCAAAGAGCAGTGCTACAGCCTGCATCATCATCATCAGAGTAGTTCCAAATCTTACAAACACCTACAGCTGCCTGCCAAGAAGAGATTCAGGGTCACAACTCACTCAGCTCACAAGGGGACCTCACAATTGCAAGACCTGATGAGAAAAGCAAGCAAAGATCTCACTGTCCTACCTTTTTCTCACCAGATGTCGATCTTTCATTTCTGAACGTTCAAACAAAACATGCTGACTGGTTTGCATACAAGATTTCTGAATAAGTCCCAGAAGCCCTCCATGTACCTGGCCAACCTGTAAGCCAAAAACTGAAATATTTATATGGCAAAAATACACATAATTATTTAATTGACTAAAATCTAACTAAAGATGCATCAACTTCTGAACTTGTTCCATGAATTATACCAATTGTTTTGGTCAAAAGTGTGCATTCACTTACCTGTCTGAACAGAAGTTCCGAGTAGGAGAATTTAAATGCTTGAAAATTCCACTCTCTCTACCAATAACTTTATCCTCCTGCCCAACACCGTATCTGTGAGTGCCTCAATATTACCAATATTTACCAGCTGTCTTGCTCATACCAAGGAGTAGCATCCATCACTAGCCAGGATTAGAACATCTAGTGGAGATGTGTGGTTGGCTACACAGATGCCTCCTTTCCGCGGTCTGTTTTCCCTGTAACAACAGCCATGAGAGTAATTACTTCACATTTATTCTTCAGACTGCAGGCCCCACCAGGTCATCTCTCTAGCGAGTGTACACCCACAACAAAGATCCTTGGTGACAAAAACATATAATGGACATACATTATCTGTATGTACAGATAACAGAAGCACAAGAACACAAGACAATTTAAAATACAAGTACAACTCTAAGGTATGTTAAAACTTCTGGCAGTACACTACAGAAGCCATCTTTCCCCATGCATTTGAGAATTCCTTCAGATTTCAGTGGTTTTGGTCAAAACCATTTTCCTTACAGCTCAGAATATGCAACATCACTGGAGAAAGCATTTCAACAGCATTCACTACCATTCTCAGAGGCATATATCAAAGACTACTCAAGCACTAAACTGGAACTCATAGATACTAAAAAGCATGGCTTTCTTTCCTTCCTGAATTATCAACAAGAATTACTTTGAGGGCCTCTGCTACATAAACCTTCGCAACTAAGCAAGCAAGATATTAGAAGTAGTTACTGTAACATCATTCATAACATGCTAGAAAGGTGAATATGAAGACTTAGGTTATCAAGTTGGCAAATAGAGCAGTTGATGTTTTAATTGCCTAGAAAAACGTCACCACAGAAACATGTTAATAGCAAACATAAGGGAAAATGTTTAAGTCTGTATTTAATGAAGAATACAGCACTACTCCAACACTGCACTCTCTGCAAATACCCAAGAGACAACACAGCAGAGCACAAAAATATCTTGAAAGAAATCTTGAAAACATCTTGAAAGACAGACAGAGTCTACATGACCTACACAAGTTCTACCAAGGCTGCAATTCAATATGAGTATCAGTGTATTAATGGAATTAAAACCCTCTCTGAAACTTGAGATTCAGCAGTGTGTGAGATGAATAATAGACAAGAGCAGGGTTGCACCACTCACCTGTTGTGGAATTGAACAAGACCACTCAGACATCGGACACCTAACGCAGCACATGTCAGCTGAACTTGGTTACTCAGCCAGCATTTAACCCTGGAAGAGAAAAGTCACCCCACAATTGTGCACATCAACTCTCCAAATTCAAGCATATTCAGTTCCAATACCCTAATTCAGCTCCTCAAAGAAATCCAAGAGAAGTGGAAAGAGCCCTCAGAAAACACCCACCTGCCATTTGGAAACTGTCCTACTACCGTAGTTGCTGAGACCAGCAAGAGGATGCTGAAGAAAGCCAAGAAGATGCTAAAAAGTAAAATAATCTTCATTAATTGGTAAGAATGAAATTTGGAAGAGGAAGCTGAAAGAAAATCTTTTAATCCTTTAATTCTTTTCCAGGATGCTTCTATCCACCATAAACAGCATCAAACTATCATCACAAAGCAGTCAAAACCAATGAGCTATGAGTACAAGTTTTCATTCGATTAATCCTCCAGTAGAAAACTGTGCTTCTTGAAGCCTGTTTTACAATAAGAGCCACAACTTGGTCTCAAGGCATCAGGTGGAGAATAATTCATTGTCTTCAAAATAGATGGCAAGTAATGATTATGAGATTTGTTAACACAGGTGAAATTTCTGAGTAGCACAATAGAGAGCTACCATCAAGCTTTTAAAAATCTACTCAGAAATTTCAGTAGCTATTTCTATTCCAAGAAGTAAGTTACTCTAGAACCATGAAAATTAGGTACTGTTGGACACTAATGGCTTAGCAAAACAAACATTGAAGTTATCCCTAAATGGTGTCCTCTACTTAAGTGGTTCAACATATTTAAGTAGACACACAGGCACTTGTGCTCTGCTATGTGCTTAACAGTTATGAAATCCTTCAACATATTCAAAAAGAGCAAGACATTTTACAAGGTTCTGCTCCTTGCTAGAATGTATTTATGGTTGTATGTGCCTTGTCAATGTGATAAAGGCTGTTTTCATGTAAAAGAACACAGAAATTTCTGTAAAGAAACACACTGTGGGCTATCTCTTTCTTCCATCCAGCCCTGCACTGACAGAACGCAGGCTTTGCTTCACATCCCAATGGTTCAGCATACAGTCTCTCTCTTCCTCACACAGGTAAAGCCCAACTCTCAGCTGAAACAGCTTTCATTTCACACAATGAAAGGATCTCCAGATCGTTGCTATGATTTAAAAAACAAATTAGATGAACAGATGTATTTGCATACTAACAAAATATACAGAACATAAGAAACATATCTTGAGCTTTCCTTTTTTCCCCTCTGGAGATCTTTGGTGGCAACCTGGAAAGCAAAGTCAAGTCACATTCTTTCTCATTTCTGCACTAGTCAATAACATATAACATCATACCTTCTATTAAAAGCAGTCCAAAAACACAATCCCAACAAATTACCCTTGGCTCACCGAAAGGGCACCAGGAGACAGTACCGGATTAAGATCCCAACGATCCACACAGTGGTCAGTTGCCAGCTGACACGGTGAAAGTTGGCATTGGTTCTGCTGAGGAGATTCCAGGACAACAGCTCCTCAGAGGTGAACCGCTGTGTGACTTCATCTTCTGCAACTGTCTCACACCCCTTCTTGGCAAAGTACATAATATCTGCAAGGCTGAAGTATCCCCTGTGCTGGCCAGCAATCTCCTTTTCCATGGAGGTTTCCTCTCTCTGGATGATCCCTTTGTTTCAAGAAACAAGTAGAAAAATAAAGACAAAAAAAACAAGCCAAAAGCATGAGGAAATGAGCCTTCCTTCCCACTTGGTAAAATGGACAACATAGAGTCCAAAAAAAGTAAAATAACTGTACTTCTTAGAAATATCATTCCTTCTTTCTATGCACTGTAATTGAATTGGTATATTTTGTGTATATACTAGCACTTAACTCCACAAGTTACTTCTCTAATCCTATGCCATATCACACCACTAAATTATTGGAGGAGACAAGCATCCAGAATAAGCTGCAAATAAAACTCTGAGCACAACACCTACTTCACTGTCATTTATCAAACAATGTAAGTACACACAGCTCCAAAGGTTGCCTGTACTGCTTAGACTACAGATCTCTCCTCTTGCCTTGACTCAAAGCTAGGTGTTGTTTATATTGTTGTTGATTTTGCTGCTGTTGTTTAGTTCTACATTTTACAGCTGGGAAAATACTGTGGAACAAACACCTGCCTCTGGCGTTTTTTTCTCAGTCCCCATCCTCTCCTCCTACAAGAGTCATCTGACTACCAACAAACATTAAAGCTTAAGATTTTTCTCTGAGTTATACACACCATAAGATAAATGCAGAGTAGAGAAAGAATAAAAAATAATTCATATTTCATATCTGTAAAATTAATGCCTCACAGGACAACCACACCTGTGACCATACCAATGTTTGCTGAGGTCACTCAGAGACCAGATTCTGGCTGGTTACAATGACTAGGATTTCACTGAACCATATCAGCTAATATTTGGGGGGTTCTTTTTTTTTTTTTTAATTTTTAAATAAGGCTCATTTTGAGATGTTTAATCAGTATACTATTAACTGATCAGAATCAGACTAACTTCCTCAGCTGTACTTTGGTCAAACTTACAGCGTCCAGGAAATCACCAGACTTGAAGGTCATTAGTTAATGAACCGGTCCATGTGACTAATGACTAAGGATGGCACTAGCCAGTTCCTTTGTGGGAAAGGAGAAAGGAAAAACAGATGTGAAAAAAATTTACTCTAATTCTTTCCCTATACCTAGAGTAAGTGCAAGATGTGTCTGTGATCCACAGGGTAGCATAGCTGCTTTACTTGAGACTCAGGCTTTTGCATACTAGGAGTTACAAAACGCAAGAGAAAACAGAAAATGACCAATGTCCACAGCAACTGGACATCAGTCACTCCTAATTTTGTAGATAGAGAGGACTGCTGGAGTCACAAATACAAAACAGACATAAAAAGAGAGGCAGCTTCCCTCCTGGTTATCAGCAGTTCCGTTCTTTACCCAAACTGGTTTCCTTTAATGCCTTTTATTCAGAAGGCTCAATTGTTCAGATACCTTTCTTATTACATTACACACGTAAGGCCTCATTTGTTGGTTTACAACATCAGCAACTATTTGCTCATTAACTCTTTATTTACCATCCTAGTTTTCCTACTTAACATGAGATTAAATTTATGTATCTGTTCACTCTTTCCTGGGTAAGATACCACAGTAGCTGCCTTTATACCAGATGAACAGTGCTGTGTCACTTTTGTTCAGAGATCTTACCGTTGGCGATTAAATTTTCAAGCGCCAGCACCTTCTGCATTTTTATTCCCTTCTCAATCTGCAGGGTGGCCCACTGTTCTCAAAACAAGAAAAGTAGATGGTGATGGTTTTCATTTTGTCATTTCCAGGTACTCTGTAACATCTTTACATGAATTGTCTGAGCCTCCTTTATTGAAGCCAGGACTCAGATTTGCAGTTTTCAAATTCTGAAGGTTGTCTTGAACATCTCCTATTTTGTTAGTTACATTGATTACTTGTAGTCATTGTAATGAAGGATTATTTGGCTCAAAGTCATTTTCAGGAGTTTTTATTTTTCTTTAACCATATTACTGATAGCATATTACTGAGCTGTCTATGAGACTCTGAGGACCAAGAGTCCCAAATTCTGTCTTACCCAGTCAGCTTCAGGCAACAGAATGATGCAAACTAATATTACTGACACAAAAACATTCTGGGAAAACAAAGACTTAAAAACGGATTTTTAAGAATAAAAGAAATGACATCAGTCTCACAGCATTCATGAAATTTGTCTTAACAGAATACAAGGGAGGGACTATTTCATATTCACAACATTTCCAAAGTAGTAGCTGTGGGTAATGAGTTTTCATCCTTCCCAGTCTTCTTGAGAAAAAGCAAAATTTCTTCTACTTGTGCAGACTAAACTCAAGATCAACCATACCAATATGCCTAATTCTAAAGTTTTACGTTGGTACAAAATGTTTTCATGATACATATATGGGCATATAAACAGTAGCCCTCAGTACTAGATCTTCCTCAGTTTGCATCAGTATATGTGTCTTAATAAAGAACTTCAGGTTCCTGTTCATAGGCTCTGATTGCCTTTTAAGGAATCAGTGATCCACTCAGCAAATGTCCTCACCTGACATTAACGCTTCCACCTGCGACGCACAAGAGTCCATGCTTCTATTCCAGCTCTTAGCAAACAGTTCTTAGCGAGCTCTTAGCGAACAGCTTGTTTCTCATCTTACTGACATGCATAACCATTTAAGCAACACATAGATTGACCACGAAGGGTTTTCATTGCATTGCAGACCTATAAATCTGCACGTGCCACTGACTGAGTAGATTTTTGCCGTGCTTAAGTTTTGCATGGTTCCTAGCAGCTCCTTTCTTAGCCACTGAAGTTAAACTCGATGACAAGACAGGGACGGTTTATCACGGCAGAATCAGGATGTTGTAGTTGCCTTTGGTTGACTTTTGCTACCTGCATCTTGGGGGGGGGAGGAGGGAACAAAAACACCCAAAGGGAAACAACAAAGATAAAAAGACACAGCGATGTGACACATTAAACTCCATTAAATCCATCTTACATAAGACCAGCGGGGGGTGGAAGGAGGGAGGTACAGACCTTTGCCTTATCTATGCTAGAAAATTAAAATACAGTGTAAATTTAAAATGCAATAGCTGTTCCAGAACCCCTTACTCCCTAAGAAAGCGGAACTGGTACATCAACTGTCTCAAGCTGTGATAACACATGGTGAGTCATTCAGGAGTGGGAATCTAGGAGATATCAAAAAACTACAGCCCACACACTGAGAAAAGAAAGAAGATACTCCACGTGAAAAAGAGCATTCCGGGAAAAAAAAAAGAAAAAAAAAATCAAGGTAGACACATTCTGCTGCTGGTGCTCATCCCTTCCCCAGTATCCAAAGGTATGAGGGATGAGAAGAAAAAAGATGGAAAAAAAAAAAAAAAAAAAATCACCGAAGTTCAGCAAATAAAGACCCTTCTCTTACTTTCTTCTTTCTCATATTTTGTCTGTCACCCTTATCTCACCCGTCATGCACCTACATGAACAGCCTGCCAGTTGGCAAGCAACTCTAGAAATCAGTTTGCCCTTACTGTCTTCTGAATACCTCAAGAAGTCTACCTTCTGATTCCCAAGTAGAAAAAGGGTACAATCACCAAGTGACTCACAAAATTATATTAACTAATTCAGTGAGCAAGATAAGTCAAAACCAACCAGACATTGAAGAAATTGATATCATAAAGTACAATATCCTGTCTCATAGTATAGAGAAAAAGGGGGACAAAAGCAATGCTCTGTAATTAAGGAGGCAACTAAGGCAACAAAGGCAGAGGACAAAGCAGATGAGAAAGGGCTCTCAGTAGAGGAATGGTTACACATTAGCCTGGAAAACAGCATCTACAAAATTTCAGCTGGTGCAGAGCAGGCACATAAGATGCAATTACATATTTTGTCTTCTAATACAACAACTGGGAAGCATCCTACGAAAGCACTGGGCAATGGATATAAGCAGCAGAAAGGTGACACCTTTGCATAGAACTGACAGCTAAGTTGTAGAGTTCATTGTCAAGAACATATTGCTAGAGATCAACTGAAATGGGTTCAAGGAACATCAAGGCACAGGCAAAAATCATCATGGGATACACAGCACAAAGTCACCTCTCCTAACTTATGAATCAGCACAAGAGGCTGAAGCAGTGGGTAGCAGGGAGAGTATTCTTAGCAATACAGCTGTACGTTCACGCGGCTCTTAGGCTTTTCATCAAGCACATAAGCTGTCTCCTGCTAAAGCCAGGACTAGGTCCATCTTTTGGACTGATACAGCAGCTTAGTTACCGTCTTCTCCAGCATTCTGTGACATCTGTATGCTTAATTTGTTTCTGAAGTATGAAATAAGGCTTTTTGATTGCCTTTGTTTTGTACAGTATTGAGACAGAACTGTCTGTCTGGTCTTTGTTGCAAAACTGTAATGAGAGGCTGTTCTAAATAGCTTACAAAACCACAGATGTTGTAACTAACACAGAATTGAAGAGCTGAATGGACTAACTTCATTCCTAAGTTTGCTGAGTGAATGACAACTCAGATACCGTGCTTTCCTCCCACCCACTTCTCAAGTGATGAGGACACAAAAAGCCCAAACATCCCTCAGGTGATCCCACCTGAACTACTGAAGATTCGACTCCTCAGCTCCAACAGCCCATGCCAGGTGCCCTCTAATTACCTTCTGAACAAAATAAGCATCCATAATACTGTATTATATTAATTACTCTCTTCACAGTACATAACATTATAAGCGACATGATACCAAACACTAACTTTTTTAATCTCATTTCTTCTGTTTTTCTTCTCCTTTTTCATTTTAAGTAGAGGTCAGTGTGTTGTTCAGTATTCTTTTTTTTCTGTATGGTGTAATAATTCATTTTTATCTCTTTATCCTTCCATTTCCATGTTTTACTATCTCTCTTTCCCTATGACCTCTCAAAAGCTTCTACTAATAGCTGACCAAACTGGGTTTTTCAATCCTCTTCTCAACTTTGTTCTCATGAGTGACAAAGGCACAGCGTTTCCCTTGGTGAAATTACTCCATATGAAGTTTTCTGAGGCAATAACCACAAGGCCAATGGGTTTTAGCGCCAGCTAAAATCACCATCTATGATCAAGCACTTATGTTTTTTCATCAAGCTATCCTATCTAGCCTCATTTTTCCTCTTCTTGTTTTTGAAGAGGAAGATTTGCTCTGTTTCAAACAAACAAATATCTAGATTCCTTGCTGGAAAAGAAGCAAAGGACAAATTCAAGTATTTCTGTACATAAATTCCACCTTGCTCATTTATATCAGTCACTGTTCTCATTACTAAAACACTTCAGTAAAAATGGAAATCAGAAAGAGGCACTTCATCAAATGCCAATGTTAACCATTGCTTATGCACAAATGTGCAAACCTGACCTCCAAGCAAATTCAGTAAGGGCTATAGATATCCTTTCTTTGCAAATTCAACACTGAAAAAAAATAGTACTTGGACTTAAAACCCAATTTTCACATCTACTCTTATTTTTCCCAAGTTCAGAAAACTTGGAGGAAAGTAAACTACATTTTTCTTTTTCTTTTTTTCTTACAAATTTGTGCATTCATTTAAAGTTGTACAAAGCAAATATAGACTGCTCTTATAAATTTTCTATTTATTTTGCAAGACTACATAACAGACTAAATGAAATGCATAACAACAGATAATCCAGTCAGCATCCAAGACTGCATTTCTTGTAAAATATCGATCAGTTGTTACATACTGCCTAAAGAGCAGATATTGCTGGAATACCATTGCTATCATGCTGGTACACAACTCTGAGGATTTTTGGAGTACCTACTGGACAAGGCATCCTATTTCCCCACTCAAGTTAGCAACAACAACAGAGAATAGTCCTTCTGCATCACCTTGTTAGCAAGAGCTCAAACAAACATTGTCACAGCCAGAAACAGGTTGACATTTCACTAGGTTATCAGTGCCAAGTTGCTCATGTCTTGAACTGTGTGCAAGTCTGCCATAAAGCTTACTGCATGCCAAGTAGCAGTTTCCATAGTGCTACTTGGTACTATTCCCAGCACTTTCAGAAGAGGCCCAGAAAGTGTAAGCATAGGCCTTAGCCCAGCATTTCCCAATACTGCTCACACTTCCTGAGGGCAAAGTGAGTCGTAGCACAAGTAAAGGGCACCTAAATTACCCTCCATCCTCTCTCCCATTTCCCACCAAGATGCATCTTTCCTACTCTTGTGGCACGAAAAACCTTTTGCATAACATCTCAGCCTAAAAACAGCTAAAATTAATCAGAATATAAAGACAGATTAAAATTTTTTTTTGCTTTCAAGACAGCCAGGGATCAACTTTCAACTGAATGACAAAACCAAAAAATGCCTACATAGAATCAGCCTGAACTGCAGTACTTCTTGTTGTGCTGTTATTAGCTGCTGCAGAATTGGGAAACTATACATTAGAGAGATCAGATCACAGAGCTATTGACTTTCTACTTTTTTTTCTGATAAAACAATCCTATACATTTTGAAGGCAAGATTAGCATGCTCATAAACTTCATACAACTAAAATATATATATTAATGTACATTCCAAAGAGAAAGTTTTCCTACAGAAAGCAGGTCTACAATGGGTCAAATGCCCTTTGAAACTGGGAAAAGCATAGAGAAAGGAGGGAGGTAGGGAGCAAAAAATAAAAATAAAACATAACAACAACAACAAATCCACAACAAATATTTAAATATCTGCCAACTGCAGCAGTAAAGCTGACAAAAGAACTCGAGGCTCTTACAAGCCTCTTACTCAGATATCAGTGAGAGTTTCATCACCATACCACTGGCTGATAAAATATCACACATAAAAGCAGTATTACATAGTGCCATGGTAGTCGGTCATATCCCACTGATATCAATATTTGAAAACAACTGGTAACATCTACAGGTTGCAGCCATTTCCACTATGTTAAATGATGCTTAAACAGCTGAAGACAGTCCCTGCCAAAGAGTTCTTAATCACTAGTGAAAAAAAAGAGACAGAGGAGTTCTAATAAAACAGAAACTATAGAGAATTGGCAGGGCAGGAGAGATGCAGTATTAATTATATCACATTGCCACATGACTTGTTTAATATGATGAACTGACAGCACCTGCTTTTGGCCATTAGTGAGCATAAAAAGATCAGACCTGAAAAACAACATGAAATCCTGGCTTATTAAAATCCAGAAGAAACTTTCACAATTATCAGCAGAATCAGGACCTTAGCCATGACTTGTTCACTTCTAGAGAAGTGCACTTCCAGAGGGTGGCTCTGCATTTCTTGCAGAGCAGAAGTTGCGACTGCTGGATCACACAGAATTATAAATGGGATTGAAACAAGTGCAGTCTGTACTCTTACCTAGAACAGTACTAATTCCTGTAATGTAACTGAAACAACCAAACCAAATCCATTAAACTTACGTACTTGTCAAACACATTTTCTTTTGCCATTTACAACTTCTCATAATTAATTAAATTTTAATTATATTTGATTTCCCCAAAATATAGCATGAAGTATTGTAACCAGCTTGAACTATTAGCAAAATATCGTGGAACCTCTACTTTAACATGAGAAAACCTCAACCTGATACTGCACTATAACCCAACACTTAACTAAACGTCATTAAAGGTATCATTCAAAGGAACCATCACATAAGTCAAAAGTGGGGAACAAATCCCACCAAAAGACAATCAAAGAAACAAACCACACCTGTCCCCCCCAAAAAACCCAACACCCTATATCCAAAAGTCTCAGAGTTAATGGAAACATTCCTGGTGGCTTTAATGGCATCTAATTCAAATGAACAGGTATTTTCAAAATTAAAAATGTCCTGTAGAAAACACATACCTTTTAATGTAATTCTCAACTTACCTCCAATGTTTTTATTACAATTTTCACATAGACATGAGAAATCCCCAGTGACACTCTAAACATCGAAGGCAACAGAACTAGCACTACAAACGAAGTCAGCCAGATTAACAAAGTTTTGCCCTCCACAAGGCTGTAGCCCTGTCTATTTTCTTCCATGCTTGCTCCTTTAAAACATCAACCTGATAACTTTCTTAGAATATTTGCTCATCTGCTGAGAATCAGGCAAGCTTCAAGAGACAAACAAAAATTACACATCCTAAAAGCCAAAGCTATTCCTAGGAGAGAGCTGCTGCACTCTAAACGTGCCACCAAAGATGCTCTCAATGATAGCAAAATTTTTACCCCTTCTCCCGCCCTAGCTCCACCCACTTCCATATAATTGATAAGCAATTACTCACCAGATATAACACAGGGTAGAAGAATATGTGTCTGGTAATAAGGTGCTGTCAAATGAGGACTTGTCAATATGTCAAATAGTTTACCCAAGGTGTCCTGCCAATAAATTATAATACAAAATCAAGTAGGTGTGGTTTTCAAATAATCTAAAATGTTCTTTTCTAAAAAAAAACAAAAACACAATACAGAGAAAGAACTTCTCCAAATGAAGTCTAGTCAAATTACTATCTTCCTTGGTCAGACTTTCTACCTCACACTGAAATGACTGCCTCGTTTCAGTATTTCACCACAAGAACCAAACTGAAGCTTTAGGTTTAAGTCAGCTACTTGTTGTTTGTTTGTTTTAATACCTCTGAGATGTAGATGCAAATTGCAGCAGGCAGGAATCAACATCAGAAGCAAATAAAACCTGCTCCCTCTTGTTCTACAAGAAATTAGCCAAATTGTATCACAGGGTTACAAAATGCACTGTGGTGACGAAACAAGTCACACATCTTTGCAGTGGTGAGGTACTGGAACAGGCTGCCCAGAGAGGTTGCGGATCTTCCATCCCTGGAGGTGTTCAATGCCAGATTGGATGAGGCCCTGGGCAGCCTGGTCTAGCATTAAATGGGGAGGTTGGTGGCCCTGCATGTGGCAGGGGGTTGGTGATACATGATCCTTGAGGTCCCTTCCAACCCTGGCCATTCTGTGATTCTATGAATCCAAACACATTAGATAGGGAGGTTTCACCTTCTATCCTATGAAACAGCAATAATTAGTATTGTATTTTTAGGAAAGATTCAGTACAGCCCCTAATTCCAGCCCCTAGCCTGTCCTTCTATATGCATCAGAGGAAGAACAGAAGTAACTGTATCCCTAGAAGCTATGGAGAGCCCAGGGACACCACTTAAAACCTTACCACAGAATAAATCAATTGACATTGGTGAAATGACCGCTCTGGGACTTCCAAAGCAGTTACATGTGGATCCATGAAGGATCTTTCCTTTGCAGATGGTCACATTTACAAGCTTGCATAACTGCAGGGGCTGTACATTTGAAACTCCCCCCACAAACCATGGTCTGGTTTGCGTGGTGGAACAGCCTCACTCCACACATACTGGATTCTTCAGGAATTAAAGCAGAAGTGCTCTAGAAAACATGACCCACATGCTCCAGTCATGAACAGAAACACAAGAATCAGAGCGCGCTGCCCAACACTAAGTCCTCCAGTTCGTACCATACACCCAGGGACCAACAAACAGGCTTCTTGTTACAAGCTCACGATACCATCACATCCTTCACGTGCCATATGAGTCAAGTAATCTCTTGTGTCCTCAGATTTGCTGCTGGATATCAGACTTCAGGTCCTCATAACACCACTGCACCTTCTTCCATAATCTAATTTTTGTCGTCTTCCCCTCATTATTTATCTGCCTCTGATAATCTATTTCTGAGCATATTACATCTTCTGGAAAAAAACATTTAGTTATATTGTTATGGTTTCTGCTTTCCCATCACTCTTTTTCTCAATGGCAACTACAAGTCCCTGACTCTACCATGCAACCAGTCCTGTGCCGTGCACCATTACCCACCATTCCCAACCCATCTCACCAAAAGTTATAGGTTCTTCTAGGCTTCTCTAGAAACAGCATTTATTTATTAGAAAAACAGTTCTGTTTGCTCATCCGTCGTTAGCTGCCACCCCCTACATTCTCATTTCTGGCCTCTTCCTATAGCTGCCTGCCCTGCTAGCACATGGTCGCACAAGGCAGGGGGTTGTAGATGATAAGACGCTGATCCTGAGGCACAATGCAGCACATCTGAGAGCTGCCTTCAGCTTCAGCTAGGGTGACTGGCATGCACACCAGCTGGGTGCTAAAACCTGTGGGCGGGAGGGTGGAGGTAGTTTCTGGGACCTGACTTGAGTCAGGAAAGGTGGGCCAAATTAAATATCAATAGCCCGTCAGGACATAACAGTGAGGTGTAGCAACAGCCTTAACTGGCAATAAGCCTAGGTGTAGGTAAGAGGGATCCTTTCTTAAAAGGAGACAGATTTCTTTACCCTGCACAGAGGAAGTAGAATTTTCCTCTCCTGAGTGAGGGAGATTTGTTTTGTGAGAAATTATCATCTGCACTTCCTCCCTAACCTTTATCAAGTCATATTCCCACAAATCAGAATAATAATGCGAACAGACAGCGTAGTTCTTCCCTTTCACCTTCTAAAAAGAGCACCCAAACCCCTCCCCAGGCTCGCCCTTCCACACTGCTGAGTGACAGGACTTCAGCCCTCTCTTAGCTGTAATTTTCCTGGCAAACCATTCAGCCCAAGACCTCTGAGGCTTCCTCGGGGCTGCCATGACAGCTTCTACAGGTAATCCCCAAAAATGCAGAACATGTAGCAAAGTTATGCCTGCTAAGAAGTACTACTGAGTAGAGAGGGGGAACAAAAAAAGTACAGGGGGGGGAGGGAGCTGGGATGTTGACAGTCTATTGCTCTTCATCCAGCATGTCACATTTGCCGTAGCAACAGAAAATTCCAACTTTTTGTCCAACTGCACAGGTAAACATATCCTTTTTGTGGCCATGGAACAAATACCTCCATTGTGACTTAACAGTCTGACAGGTTACTTATGACAGAAAGCAATTTTTGTGAACCTTCTTCTTGCTAGTATCAGCTTATTCTGGCATGACTCACATGCTTATTAGCTGCTTTTAATCCAGACAGATGACTTTTGGCCGCCCAGTAAAGCTGGGAGACATTTGTATTCTGTGAGAAATGGTTATTCTGCCGTAACAGTGTCAACTGCTCACTCTTGGCTCTCAGTTCTTGAGGTCATTCTACTCATTTGTTACTATTAGGCCATGCTTTTTGGTTGTCTTAGGGAACTGGAACTATGACCCATTCATTTTTCCATGGTGTGGAGAAGCAACCATAGCACTATTACCAGTTTTAACAATAACAGTAATATTAAAATAATAATAATGAGGAAAGGCCCTCTTGGTTTTTGATTAAACTTTCCTGATGTTTCAACCTCACATTGTGCAGACTTCTCACCTGGTTGCTAAACAGGAGTGAAATAATCTCTGGTACCTTGGGTCTGCTTTTTATAAACACTGAGGTTTGTACTTCACTTGTGAGAGAGCTCCATGTCACCAGAATTACTTTAAAGATCACCCGTTCTATGGTGAGCAATTTCAGTCTGAATATTCATATATGGAAATCACACTGTTCTCATGCAACGAAATGCAAATATCCACACCTCTGCATCCATACTCTAACTGACCTATCTCTGCTGTTCTTTAGGTCAGCAGAGATCTCATCTGTGTCACAAAATAGGTCTGTGTCTGCATCTGACCACAGAGGAGTTGTGCTACTTATAGGTTATCTCTGCCTGTCAACAGTTGAGTTATGACATTGAAGAAGTATGTTTAAGCAGTGTATTACTCATTAGGATGATTGTAACATGTTTAGCTCTGACCACACTAGCATTACGGTTTCCTCAGAAGATAAATTCAGTCATTACAAAACCTTAATCACCAGATCAGGATACATCTTTATATCACAAAATCTGGGAGTCCACTAAAGATCTGCCTACATTTGTTTAACTCAACAGTGTACAGATCAGACGATTAGGCATCGCATGGCTTTCAATAATGCACATTTGTCAATACATATCTTGTATACGATTTGCATACCATTAATCAAAGAATCATGGGATCATTAAGGCTGGGAAAGACCTCTCAGGTCACCTAATCCAAACACACACCCAACCACCCCACCATGCCCAGTAACCATGACCCCCAGTGCCACATCTCCATAGTTGTTGAACACCTCCAGGGAATGCTGACTCCACCACCTCCCTGGGCAGCCTGTGCCAATGCCTCACTGCTCTTTCCAAATATTTTCTCCTGGTGCAACTTAAAGCAATTACCCCTCATTCTATCCCTGTTACCTGGGAAAAGAGGCCAAATCCCACCTCATTACAACCATCTTTCAGGGAGTTACAGAGAGCAATGAGGTCTCCCTGGAGCCTCCTCTCCTCCAAACTGAACAATCCTAGCTCCCTCATCTGCTCCTTGTAGGACTTGTGCTCCAGATCCTGCCTTTCTTTGGATGCAATGAATACTGAAGAATAATTTGTCAACGCCCAGCATTTCTCACACTGATTAAATGCATAAAGTACCCCCACTGCTCTGGTATAAAAGTGGCTGCAATCACAGTACAGGGAATTTGGGGGCAATTTCTGAAAGATGCCAGAATTCATGTTCATTTTCACCATTTTCTCCACAAACAGCTATGTAAGCTAGTCACATCCTTATACTCTTGCTGCCTTTTACCAAGGCAACATAATCCATGTCACTGTTTGCTCCAATACATCTCTTCAGCTGCATAGTATTTATTACACATTCATCTAATGCCCTGTAGCCAGGATTGCAAGAAATGCCTGATAGCTATTTCCCATTCGTCTTTGCAGTCATTTTGCATCACCTGAAGAATTTGTCATCCCCTGTTCATTTATAAGCTTGTTGAGGTAGGGAAAAAAAAAAAAAAAAAAAACCACTTAGCCAATTCTTCTCTTCACTGGGAGAATAGGTAAGAAGTGCAACAATTCACAGAATCACAGAATCACAGAATCACCCGGGTTGGAAGGGACCTCAAGGATCATGTAGTTCCAACCCCCCTGCCTAGCAGGGCCAGCAAACACACACATTCAGATCAGGTTGCCCAGGACCCCGTCCAACCTGGCCTTAAACACATCCAAGGACGGGGCATCCACAACCTCCCTGGGCAGCCCGTTCCAGGGCCTAACCACTCTCCTTGTATAGAACTTCCCCCTAACATCCAACCTAAATCTTCCCTCCTTCAACTTCGATCCATTTCCCCTAGTCCTGCTGTTGTCAGCCCTTTTGAAGAGTTTACTCCCCTCGTGGGTGTAGGTTCCCTTCAGGTATTGATAGGCTGCAATGAGGTCACCCCGCAGCCTTCTCTTCTCCAGGCTGAACAAGCCCAACTCCCTCAGCCTGTCCTCATAGGGGAGGTGCTCCAGCCCCCTGATCATCTTAGTCGCCCTCCTCTGGACCCTTTCCAAAATCTCAATGTCTTTCTTGTACTGAGGGCTCCACACCTGGACACAGTACTCCAGATGGGGCCTCACAAGAGCCGAGTAGAGAGGGACAATCACCTCCCTAATTCTCCTCTTCTGAGTATTAGTACCATTTGCATGCATTTAAATATACTTAACTTTATTTAAAAATAAGTATTACAGAAATAGCCATTCTTCTTTTAATTTTTGCTGACAGGTTTAAAAGGAAAAGAAAATGCACTGAAAACATTCATTTCTAATGAAAGATAAGAACATATAAAAATACACGTGACACCCCCAAGTCAATGGAAACACCCCTTGAGAGACTACAGGTGCATAAATATTATGCAAAAACTCATTTTTTACTTATACAAAAAGCAAATAATAAGCTTACATGTAGTCCTGATGAAAGACAAAATTAAGCATTTCCTTTCCTGAAATGAAGAAACCCCAGTGGCCTTCAAAACAGATTCCTACCTCATTTCTAAGAACGCTGTAACTTCCACCTCTCCCTTCTTCAGGAGGTTTTTAGAGCTGCATTCTGATCAGGAACACCTGCTAAGAATGTGGTGGAGAAGATAACATTACTGCAAATATTAAAGGGAATATGACAATTAAAACAAGTCAAAACAGAAACTGCAGAGACTCCATTCATACCATGAGGAGTGGTGCAACGTGCTTTTGTCAGATAGCTGCTCTATGTTATTCGCTGTCTCCTTCCCAGAATTTCTGAGGTTATTAGCTCAGAAGATTCCCACCATGTCTCCAGACACATTCACAGCAGCATACCCTGTTTCCCTTCTGCAGATGCCAGCTCTGCCAGCTCTGTGCCAGGATACATTTTGAGGTGGATTGACACAAGCTTCCCACTCTTCAGTCAGAAATACAGTCTGCTCCACCCGAACTCCCAGCAGGATGACCCAAGCAGTTCTGTTTCACTGCTGTTTTGATGCTTTAACTTGAAGTCCAGTCCAGCCAGGACAGCTCGGTTTGCTCCCAGCACCCACCTGCTAAACTGCCTTGCTCAGTAATCGTATTGTTTCTTATTAAGGGAGGTATTCACACTTGGGAATTACTTGATTTCATAGAACCGTAGAATCATTTGAGCTGGAAGGGACCCTTAAAGGCCATCTAGTCCAACTCCCCTACAAGGAACAGGCGTCCCTCATCCAGGCGAAGGGACGGGCTGCAGGAACGCGCTAAGGTCGGCACGGATCTCACAGAGGGTCACGCCGACGGACCACAGGCCGCAGGTAAAGCAAGGCACGGCACAGGACGGACGGGTCGCGGCGAGCCCTGCCCTGCCGCCGGCGACCGCTGGGGGCTCCCGCCGCCGCGGCGCGGCCCGCCATTGTCGGGGGCATGGAGGGCGAGAGCACGTCAGCTCTGCTCTCGGGCTTCGTCTTCGGCGCCCTCGCCTTCCAGCACCTCAGCACCGACTCGGACACGGTGCGTGCCGCGGGCGGGACGAGGGCGGGCGGCGAGAGGCGGCCGGGAGGGGCGGGGCGGCCGCTATGCACGCACGCGGGCAGCGCTCGGCCGCCATGTCGCAGCCCCGCAGCCGCCGGCCTGCCCGTGCCAGGGGCTGCCGCTGCCGCGACGGGCAGAGCGGCGGGCGGCGCGTCCCTGCCGGCGGGGAGCCCCGCTGACGGCGATGCGCCAACTGCTGACGGCCGTGCCCCAACGCGGGGCCGTTCGGCAAGGTTGCCGCTGCTATTTCGGCTGCTTTCGCCACTAAGGACGCCGGAAAGTTGCTTTTTATTTCCTATCTAAAGCTAGGAGGAAGCGGCAAGAGGCGGTGCGGTGCCGCGGCAGCCATAGCGCTTCTGCCGGGGGCCGATAGAAGTTGTGGGCGCGGAAGAGGCAGCACACGGACAGCCGCACGCGGCGCCCTTTCTCATAAACGCCTGAGAACGCAGCCCAACTTTCTGCTCCAAGTGTTCGCATACATTTAAAAATGAAAGAGAACCCGCTCTGTTGATCTGTGCACTTTTCACCCCCCAAGGTGTTTACTTACAGTTAAGACCGAACTCCTGTTAGATGTCAGTTAACGTGACCTTTTGTTCTCTCCCGAAAAAGGAAGGCTTTCTCCTTGGAGATGTGAAAGGTGAGGCCAAGAACAGCATCACCGACTCACAGATGGACGATGTGGAAGTGGTTTATACAATCGGTCAGTGCATCCTCATTTCTCATAGCAAGCTTGCTGCCAGGACTGCACGCAACTGCTAGGTCCTGGGCTGCCCATTCACGTCCAGCTGGGCACACGCAGCTTATTTTACAACATTTAATTGCTAAAAAATTGGTAATCCTAATCTGAAAAGGATAAATTTTAACAAACACAAGTTCCTAGCTCCTTGAGCATTGCAACTTTGCCTGAAGTGCTGTTGCCTGGCAGAAAGTGAACTTTAGTGCCTACAGTCATGTGAACTTTAATGCATTCAGGCTTAACACAGAACTTGAAACTTATAAAATACTGTGGATGTTGCAAATTATGTACTTCACTGAGCAGATGGCAGCATTTTTCTGTAAAATCTACACTGCAGTGAGAGCAGATACGTATATTCTAGTAGCCCTAAGGAAGAATATATGCATACATAAATTTAACTTCATTCCTTCAGAACACAGTCAATACAAAAAAAAAAAAAAAAAAATGTAATGCATGCCTTCTTTCCAACCTTACTAGCAACAGAGAAGTCACATCTCATTTTTACCTTGGTTTAACTTTCCTCCACTGAATCTCACTACTGAACCTGAAGTCTGAGGAAATTGTGGTGCCATTGATCACACTACCCAAATTCTTGGCCATTATTAGTTGCTCTAAACTTTGTGGGGCTCTTTTTGGTTGCTTTGATCACTTTATTTGCTTGATTTTAGAAAACTTGTAACAACAAAAGTTGTGGAGACAATGGGTAAAGAAGAGGATTCTAAATGCTATCCCTTATCCTCTTTCCAGTGGTAGAAAGTTACCCCAATCTTCTCACACACCCTGTTCTCCAGCTTTATTTCCCTGCCTAGCAAAGCAGATGCTGCTGCAACATAACTAAAGTTACCATTCTGTGATACTGTATTGTTTTCTAATTCTGTACTAGAGGGACTAGAGGGAGGGAAAAATTAAGTGACAAATTTGATTTCCCACTTGACAAAAATGTATCAAAAATATATAACTTATAGAAGTATTTCCTCTTTACACTTGGAAAGAAATCTGGGTTAGACTTTCTTAAAGATTTCCTTTAAGTAGACAGTAGTTTAATACAAAGCTGTAGCATTAAAGTTCTTCCTTATAACAATTGCCATGACAACACACAGAAAAATGTACATCTTGAGCTGACAGACCAAGTAACATTGCTTTCTCATTTCAGATATACAGAAGCATATTCCATGCTACCAGCTATTCAGGTAAGAAAATTTTAAGATGCAGAAAAAGTTAATATTTAACATTTGTTGAGTCAGAATTAGGTTTAACTTGTAATATGTCTGAGAAAATCACCAGGATACAATAGATGTGATGTCATCTCTGTAGAATTACAGATACTAAAAGTCTCGTTATTCCTATATTAGTTCTATGCATGTTGCTCGTGCTTGTATCTCTTCATGTAGAGATGTGGTACACCACACCCTCGTGAGCTGTGGAACTAAACTACAAGAATGATGTCAGTCTGCTGCAAAAAAACACCACTGCTTTTCTAAAATAGCATATCTTGACCCTTCACCCAATCAGAAAACAGAAACACAGGGTCCTGAGTGGGGCAGAAGAAACACCTGATAGTTGTAAATCAGGAGTCATTTCACAGACTGATTTATCAAGTTCTGTTGTAAATAGGAACACAGCCATGCAGATTTACATTCTGATGACAGGAAAATCACAGCATGATTTCCCTCTGCAATCTTTCTGCAAATTAATAAATACAAACGTTGCCAGAGAGGCACTTCACAACAAAAGTCCTAATTGTCATAATTTTCTTCTAGCTTTTATAATTCTGCAGGAGAACTGAATGAACCAGCCCTGAGGAAAATACTGTCAGGCTGTAAGAAGGTATTTTCAAATCTAATACGTGCCAAAGGACTATCCCAGCTTTTGGGGGTTGTTCTGTTTGTTTTTTTTGTTTGTTTGTTTTTTTCCCTCCATCTTCTCCAATATACTGCTTGTCAAGACAGCTCCCTTAAAGAATAGTATTAATTGAGGTCATCTTTGACTAAGGTTTGCCACAACAGTGGAATAGGCTCCCCAGGGAGGTGGTTGAGTCAACGTCTCTGAAGGTGTTTAAAAACTGTTTGGGTATGGTGCTCAGGGACATGATTTAGCAGAGGGTTGTTAGAGTTAAGGTAATATGGCTAGTTTGTGGTTGGACTTGATGATTGTTAAGATCTTTTCCAACCTGAGCAATTCCATGAATCTATGATTCTAAGTTCATTCTTTTGTTTTTCCTAACTTTTTCAACATCCAAAATCAATTACGCTGACTTCTAAATTGACACCAATTGAGGTCAATTTTCAGTTCACTCCCTTAGTTAAGCAGAAGCAAGTTCATGTACTGTCTTCTCTGCAGAAGAACATTTTTCAAGGGGAAAGTATAAACTGAAGAGCAGCAAGTGGCTAAGTAGCTAAATTACCTTTGCAAACTTCCAGGTTGAGTATAGCCTCAGAGAACTGTTTCAGTGGATTCCAGAACAAGAGATGTTGTCATAGTAGAACATAGTCTTAGGCATTCCAGGTGTTTACAGTTAAGTATTTGCTTAAATACATACACAGAACCATTTAGATCAATGCCTTTGTACTGAACTTCCCACTTTGCTCCATTATGGAATATACTGACATTGTAATTTAAGGGCAGTGCTGATAAACTTTGTTCTGTTTGCAGAGTGTAATAGGATGGTACAAATTCAGACGCAACACAGACCAGGTCATGACATTCCGGGAAAGACTTCTACATAAGAACTTGCAGTCACACCTATCAAACCAAGGCCTTGTATTCCTGCTCTTAACTTCTAGTGTGATGACAGAAAGCTGTTCAACTTATAGGCTAGAACATGCCTTACACCGGCCACAAGAAGGGTAATCAGTTTGCTTTCTAATTTTAACAAAGCTGTTAAATAACCTGATTTGACTCGCTTCTTATTTTTATGGGTGTAATTGAGTTACTATTAGGACTCATTTATTTTAATTACAGCTTTTAGTAGGCTTCATGAAGCTACTGAGACAAGCTGCTAAGTGGCTGGGTTTAACAAGGAAATAACTGCATTAGAGCATGCCTGACATACAAAAGCAGTTTTAAACCATATACAGAACTATTGCTCAAAGTCTAGTCACCTGTGTGTGATATCCAGCAAGAATTATACTGTGCACCTCTGGTTGTGGTGCCCAGTGAGAGGGGACATTGAAATACTGAAGCTTAAATGTTAATGTGGCACTTTCTCACACTTATGCTCTTCAAGTCTCTTTCAGAAAGTTCCTCTAGTCGTTACCAACTTGGGTATGGCAGAGCAGCAAGGTTACAGAACAGTGTCTGGTTCCTGTGCATCTTCTCGCTTTGTGAGAGCAGTAAGACAACACAGGTACAATGTAAACCTTACATACTGGCATATGAAGCTTTCCAGTAAGGTTAGCATAGCTGCTTTCTTCAAATTAAGATTTTTTTTTTTTTTTTTTTTTAAGTACTCAAAGTAATGTAGTGGTACAGCTACACTCTGCTCACTTCTTGACTTGCCCCTATAGTTTTTTTGCCCTTCACAAAGCACTTCAGAATTAGTTCATCCAAGTATTGGCAGTGAGAACAGTCAAAATAGGCACCTAGCACTGCACCAGCCTACATAAGGTAATCACAGCTGGAAACAAAACTTAAGTCTTGGTGACAAGAGATACACAATACTATTGCTAGAATTAAAAAATAGTCCAGAACATTAGCCTAACAAGAGCAATTCATACTAGATTTCTTACTTCAAACTAAAGGTCCAGGTCATTTTTTTTCCCCCTTACAATTTTATGCATCAGCCAGTAGTCAGTACCATCTTCACTAAAGGGGTCTCTTGAAGTTACATAAAATAAGCTTTAGAAGATCTGACTTAAGAATAGCTAATCCTAAAACAAAGCAGCGAAAACCTAGAATGCTTCTTTATTTAATGAAGTTCCTTTCAAATGAGCATCACTATCCACCGGAATCAATTTTCAGTTATACCATTTAATTTTTCCCACAGGTCAGAATTCTTTTATGAAGATGGATCCTTACAGGAGGTTCACAAGATAAATGAGATGTATGCCACCTTGCAGGAGGAGCTGAAGGTCAGTTGAGTATACCCACAGCATAGATATTTTCAGCAGTACCAAACAGTCAAGCAAAGCATTTAGAATCCTGCACCAAGTTGGAGGTACAGTGCAAGATCAGAAAGTTCTTTGCTCTACATAACAGTTGCAAATACAAGTTTATCTCTAAACTTTAAAGATCAATCCAAGCATACTGAGAAATCTTTAAAGAGGATTATTTCTGAAAATTATCATCTCTAGCTCTTTTGGGCAGGTGAGGACAAGTAAAAGACATTGAACCTCACTCAACACAAGGCTGAAGTTCTCATCTCCAAAAACCAACCTCATTACTTCAGCTTTCTAATACTATTACCAATATCAGAAAGTCAGTAGCTTTACAGGTTTTGCCAAAACTAAAATCTACTTCTGTTAATGCAGCTGATCTCAAGTGATATTTTTCTTTCCAGAAAATATGCTCTGAGGTAGAAGTCAGTGAACGATCTGTAGAGAAACTCCTAACAGAGGTGAGCCACTTAAAAGAAGAAATCAACAGAAAAAAGCAACACAAGATCTCTTCAGGTAAGTTATGTCCAATGGTAGCACTGGTAAGACAGCAAAGTTATTTCACTGTTGGAAAAGGAACACTTGTGAACTTGAGGAACCCAGAGCAGTATTGGTGGAAGTACACAAGAGGGTCTGTAACCATTGTTTTTCAGGAGGGAACAAAGATCACCTAGAAGAACCAAAGGAGAATGTTTTGCTTTGTCAGGCACTGAAAACATTTTTCCCCAATTCTGGACTTCAGACATGTATTGTTTCCTTCGAAGGAAGGATCTCTAAGAACTGTTGTAAGATTGACCATAATATTAACATCATGGACAAATTGACTCTCATGGTAGAGGAAGGGGACTTCACTGAAGCTGAAACAAGACCAGTAACCAAGCGTAAAGTCAAAGACACCACAACAGGACCAAAATCATTTAAGAAATTAAGATCGCTGCAACCTGACCAAGAATTACACCAAGATGAAGACAACAGCAACCAAGAAACAAAACTTGCACTGAGTAACACTGAAACAGACGAGGAAGCATTGGAAAATCCCAAAGATACAAATGAATATTCATACTCTCCCACTTTCTGATCACTTAATGATTTGCCCAGATGTATTTGTACAAAAAGCAATTGCCAGCGTATTAAAGTGACATAAATTACTGCACTAGAGGGATGGAAACAGCTTACTGAGTTTTTGTAAAGTTACAAAGATGTATTTTTAAATACTCAAATCCTGTTTGGCCCAAGTCAAGCAGAGTCTAAATGACATTCCTTAATTTTGCCTTGCAGAGTCAAGTCTGTATACTCTATCTCAGGGTTTTAAAACTATGCTAGCATTCCAATAATCTCACTTGATGCCTCAGTGATAGAACTTCAAGCTCCTACTGAAGATTTCAGGACCACTCCAACAGTGAGCATCTCCTCAGCAGGTGATGTGCAGAACATCAAATTGGATGTATCTTAGAAATAGCTGTTATATATAACAAAGTTTTTAATATTTTTACTTAGCTATCTGGTACTTAATTGTCTCTTTCTGAAATGGAAGGGAAAAAGTGATCTTCAGCAAGACCTCTGGATAAGTTTAGTGGTCTGTATGTCTAGGGGGAAGAACATTAACAACAAATCAGTTCACTCCTTACACTCCCCAAGGGTAAACAGTCTAGAATGATAATCCTCTCAACTCAGTATCTATCCTAAGGGGTGCACTCGTATTCTCAGAGAATACCACATGTTGGTCCATAGGGTGGCAGCAAGTTGGTCAGTGACATCTCATTGACCTGCACACCTGCAATTTGGCAGAGAGGGTACCCATTCTACCTCAGAGCTCTTTGGGTTTTTAGCCTCTTCACAGCAGAATTTTGGCTGCCGGGGCAGCAGCTGGTTGTCAGGGGACACTTGTGTGGTTTAGAGCTACCTTCAGTTGTCAAGGGTACTTAAGTTTTGTTCATCGGGGCAACAGCTCATCCATAGCACACCCCCCTCCCATTGGTAATCAGCAGCTGAACACACAGCTGTCACACAGTGGAATGCTAGATATGCACATTGACTGCATGGTGGTCCTCTCCTCAGTGAGGATCCCCACAAATCAGATTGAATGCCCAGGAAGAGCAACAGCTGAAAAAGATTTCTTGATCACCCACCAGTATTTCTCTTATCACTGTGATCATGGTAACCATGAAAGCTTACTCAACAGGTTACATCTCAGATAAATGCCACTGAACAAGCTTTGAGCCAAAAAACCATTCCAGCTAATCATACCAGTAGAGAATATTAAGCATGATTTTGTTTTATTTTTATTTCTTTACAGTATGTTATTCTCAATACTTAACATTACAAATCTTGGGGTCTGTAAGAAATGATGGGTTCTTAAACATAACTGGCATAAATCCTGTAAGAAAATAAAATGGAGGGTCTTTTTAAATAAAGGATGAGTGTGACTCACCAAATACTGTGAAGTATAACAATACTTACCAAGTATATGAGCTCTTTTTATGGCTTTTGAAATTTCTTTCTGCTTCTTATCACACAAGCCTAAACAAATAAGTTATTTTTAGCTTCCTGGTTTCAATTGTAATTCACTGATCAGTTTAAGGAGGAAGTCTTATTAATGACAAATCGTTCTGGCTTTGTCAAAGCCTTGTTACAAAAAGGTATGCACACTTACATACCTTTTGATGGTTAAGATTAAGAAGTGATTACTTAAAAGATATTTTCATTTCTCGATGAAGGCTACTAGTTAACATGAACACTTCAAGATGTGCACAACCAGTAATATCCAGTTCTGTAAACATATCTGTTTAAAGTGAACTAGACTGTAGAATACACCAACATTAAACACTAAGTAGCATTCCACATACCTGTTATATGCCTGCCATAAATGCGGCCAGAGTATGGAGAAACAAACTGGGACAGAAGCTATTAGAAAGCAAAGACAAGAGTGTAAGGGTTGCTTTGTAAAAGAAGCTTTAACTTCTTCATATTTTGACTTGTTTCTTACAGAACTTTCCACATACCCAATCATTTAAGCCACACTACAGTAGAACTAGAACTGAACATTTTATTTAATAGGCCTACAGATTTGAAGTAACTAGTTACGTTACTAGATTTATCAGTAAACACTGATACTACTTCAGTTTTTAGATCCTCTAAACATTGGTATTAATCATTCACTTCAGACTTCTGTTCCCAAGCCGTTACATGCTATATATAAACTTACATTTTCAAGGCACTCACCTGCACATTCTTGTAGTCCACATTTATTCCACATAAGATACATTTTTTAGGAGGCTCTTTATACGGATTCTCCATTTCTATAGGCTGTAATTAGACAACAGCTAAAATGTTTTGCAAGTTTGCAAGAAAATAGTCAGCTTGCACTTGATTTCACATAGATCTTCAGGAAAAAGAATGCCTTCAAACCAAAAGGAGCCCCTCCCTTACAAAGGCAGGTTAAGGAAGTTAGGCTTCTTTAGCATGGAGAAGGTTCTAGGGAGACTCACTACAGCCTTCCAGCACTTGATAGTTGCATACAAACAAGGAGACTGACTTTTTATGTGAGCTGATAGAAGTAGAACAAGTAAGTGACATAAAACTAAAGCAAGGGAGATTTAGATTAGCTATAATACAGAAGTTCTTTACTCAAGAGAGCAGTAGGGCCCTGGCACAGGGCCGTGGATGCCTTATCTCTGGAGGTAGTCAGGACCAGATCAGATGGGATCCTAGGTAACCTAAGCCGGTGGAAAGTAACCCTGCCCACGGCAAAGGGTTGGGGCTGGGTAGGCTGTGAGGCCCCTTCCAATTGAAACTATTCCGCAGTTCAGAAAAAAAAAAAAAAAAAACCAACCCAGTATTTCTTTAAGGTGTGAGCTATTGAAACAGCATGGAAGAGTTACATTCATGGTAGTAGGCTATACCTTGTATAGGCACTCATTAACACTTAGTAGCTGATTTCAGGAACAGTGAGAAGCGATAAACACAGTAACCTATACAGCAACGTAGCTCTCAATCACGAGAGCAGCAGGCACAGCACAAGATGCTATCTTCGTTTTCATTTTTGTTGTTTGACCAGCTCACCCACTGACCCTGGATTCCACGTACAGCTGCCAGGAAGCGGCCATGGCACACCTGGCAGTGAGGTGAGGAACCCTTACCAAGTCAGACCCGACCGCCGCTTGCTGGTGCTGAAGACGACAAGGCCTCTCCCGCATCAAGGCTGCACAGCAAAGAGACAACACCATCAGCGGCAGCTCGATAGGGCAGCCTAAAGACACCGCAGAGACGCATGGCAAAGGGCAAAGAGCAACGCGCAGCCCGCTCACCAGGCACCCATCCGCAGCACAGCCTGCCGCCCCGCACAGCCAGCGCCGCCATCTTCACCTCTCCCACCCCCCTCTGCGCGCAACTTCCCCCGCGCCACTCCGCCAAGCGGAAATACGATCCGCTGGCCAATGGGGCTGCGGCCTGCACTGGTGGGGGCAGGCGATTGGCTGCGCGTCTTACATGTGATTGTTTTATTCTTGTGCCGGAAGCGGCGGTTGGGGCTGGGTGTCTCGTGGCGTTGCCGGCCGTCATGTACGCAGCCCCGGTGCCGCTTTGACGTGTCCCGACTCCCTCCTCATGGCCGAGCCCGCTCTCGCCGTGCGGAGGAGGAGCCGCATCAGCTCCGCTCGCAAACGGAGCCACCCCCCTGCACGGCCCGGGGCCGCCTGCTCGCCGCTGGCTCGCAAGAGACACAGTGCTGGGGGTGAGGGGTCCCCGGCCGAGCCCCCGGTACGGAGGTGGTGGCTGGGACGGAGGAAGCGGGCCGGAGTGAGGCTGTGGTGGCGGGGAGCACTTGAGCAGGGGGTGTGTTCGGGATCAGAAACCTCAGAAAAAGCTGCTCGTTGACTGTGCCGCATTTCACTCATTTGCGAGTATACATTCCATTAAAAGTTGAACTGACAAAGTGAAAAGGCAGATTAATTGCTTGATAAATTGCAGAGCAGTTAAATGAATTACACTTTATGCTTCGGTTGCCGAGGTTTTTCCAGCTTGTTACTTTGCAGTGTTAATTCCCTTACTGTTCTATTTTCACAGGGTAACAACGATAGTGAAGAGGATATGTTTGGCGACTATGACAGCTTCCATGAAAGTGATTCTTTATTGGCTCAAGTTCTTGATGCAGAGCACCAGCACCCCCAGGAAAAAGGTGTGGACATGAAAGCAGCCAGGGAGTTTGCACATGGGAATCTTCAGTCAGAAATGAACCAAAGCAAGCAATGTAATTTGCATGCTACAGAAGATAGTAGTATGCATCAAGTGGATGAACGTTACGGCTTCCAAATGAATGAAAATGATGCTGGAAACACCAATGAAGACCTCAGTGATTCTGTTTTCGATGAATTGCCTTCATCACAACTTTTGTATTTGGAGAAAATGGGTGAGCTTTCTTCTCGTTCCCAAAAATCTGCAGGCACAGAGAAGATGGATGAGTGGAAGAATTCCTCCTTGGACAAAATCCGGAGTCCATCATCTCCATGTCCTGACTTTGGACACAAGAACAGAAGCACAAAACCTTCCACTGGCTCTAGGTCTGATTCATGTAAAAGCGTGAGTCTTAAAGATCATCTGAAAAATGCTATGACTGGAAATGCCAAAGCCAAGACTCCAGTGGTCTCAAAGACCAAGCAGCTTAAAGAAGCTATTTTATCTGAAGAGATTTCTGTTGCTAGGGAAACTATTGAATCGTCATCTTTTGATATAGGTCCATTTTATGGATTACCCAGTAAAGTTAAACATCTCCTCAGGCAATTTCGGGGCATTGAAACACTTTATGGTAATAGAACTTATGGGTTCTTCAAAGCAAACAATTGTAGTATAAGTATTTTCTGTTTAATCCATTATGGTATAAAGTTACTTGTTTATGGTTGAATTACTGTCCATTACACAAATTAAATATTGAAATTAAAATATTTTCAAATCTAAAAGTAGGATAATGTAATACTACTTGTTGCATTTAAGGGAAAAGCCTAAGTCGTGTTGGATCTCCAGAGGAGGAAGCATAAGAAAGTTAAGGTAATAATAATAAGCTATGTCAGAAGAGAATTGTTTTTCAGCAGTGTGGAGGAGGAGGATGTGGCTTACAGAAATACTTTCTTCTGTGAGATCTGAGAAAATGGTAAGACTTGTAGCACTTAACTGAAGAAAACTCTTGAATGCTGAATTGATGAGTTTTATACAGCATAGGCAAAGAGCCTTGTGGGGGACGAGCATATCCTTAAAAGGATTGGCAATAATTCTTTTTTAATTTTGCAGAATGGCAGCATGATTGCTTAACATTAAAATCTCTACAGCAGAGGAAGAATTTGATTTACTCGTTACCAACTAGTGGTGGAAAAACACTTGTTGCTGAAATTTTAATTCTCCAAGAATTACTCTGCAGGCAGAAGGATGTTCTGATGATCCTGCCCTATGTTGCCATTGTCCAAGAAAAGGTCTGGAAAGTTCCTGGTATTGTGCATCTTCTGCAATGTGCCTTGTTATATGACTGGGTTTAGCAGTAGCATTAGGTAACTGTGTTTTTCATAAAAACATTTTGGGAAATGAGTTGCTTTGCCTTTTAGCGCTGCTCTAAGATTCAATTTTATTCTAGTAGAATATTGTGGTTATCACTTCAGTATGCTGAGTTATAAGAAATTCTTGAAATGACAGCCTTCTGCAGCGTCACCCGTATTTTTGTTCTTATATCAGTGCCTTTTGCTGTCATCCCTTCTGGCAAAGTACCAATGTAATAAAAACATATGCTACTCTGACTAAATCCAAATAAAGTTAGAGAACAGTTTGATAAAGTTTGTGAATGCTTTTGCTTTTCAACTGGGGAAGGTATTCATTATGCAACTGATTTAGATATGGGTAGGTTACATGCGTGATTAATTGAGACAGGCCTGAAATTCAGAATGAGCACAAGTTTGTTTTCCAGCTGACATTGCTTTTTTTTTTTTTTTTTTTTTTTTTTTTTTTTTAACAGGTTTGGGGTTTATCAAGCTTTGGGATAGAATTAGGTTTCCTGGTTGAAGAATACGCAGGAAGTAAGGGAAGATTTCCACCCATCAGGAGAAGAATAAAAAAGTCACTTTATATCGCTACCATAGAAAAAGGACATGCTCTTGTGAATTCTTTAATTGAAACAGATAGAATCAATGACCTCGGTTTAGTTGTAGTAGATGAGGTAGGTCACCAGATTTTCCCATAAATAGCTTTAGTTTATTTCATTGGTTTAGTTTCCAGGGCTTACCATGTCACAGGTAGTATAACTTCATTACTTCATTGGTACTTTGGGATCAGGAAACTGATCTGTAATCAATGCCTGTTATGATTAATGTTATTTTTATTCATCAACTGAAGTATTCTTTGTCACAGAGACTGCGTTAACAGATCTACTGTGTTAGTGGTTAATTGTAAATTAACTGTTTCTTAGCTTGGCTCTACAAAGTAACAAAAATTAAAAAGTGATACTGAGTTGCATAGAACATGTTTTTGCATATGCATGTTGCGTGCCTGAATTTGGTATCCTGGCATCTGAAGGCTGGTATACTGGAGGGAAAATCAAGTCACATTTCACTGAGAATTACCTGTTACTCTGCTTTTTAATAATGTGACTGAGTTGTACTGCTAAAAGTTAACTGTGGGATTGAATCACACGTGTAATATGTGAAATCACATGTTCAGCTCCTGGAATGCTCCAGGCTGGCCTTAGTTAAACACAACTTCTCTAAATGTGAAGAGGCTTAATAAATAAGTTGGGCTTTTTCTGGTAGCACCTGCCTGCTAAGAAAAGATTTGTTTAGGATCCCTAACAAGTGTTTCTTAAAAATAAGTTGAACAGGGTAAGTTTAGGTTGCTTCATCTCCATGCCAATTCTGTACTTGCAAGAGATCCTATTTCCATGACACTTGTGATCTAACTAAATGGAATGCAAATTTTAGCTGCTTGTACTCTTGGATCTTTTGTCCTGCAGTTCTTAAATACATATTAATTAAGTCAATACTTAGAGAAGAAGCTTAGCATGTCAGTTTACCAAGTAGATCTCTAGACGGAGTCTTGACAGACACTCAACTCAGAATTACTTAGAAATAAATGGTTGTATTTCTGGGAATATTTGTAACCCAGTAGTAACTCTTGGTTGCTTTCTCTTCCGGTCTGCAGTTGCATATGATTGGTGAGGGAAGTCGTGGAGCAACACTAGAAATGACTCTTGCAAAAATACTTCATGCTAGTAGTAAGTCAGTCTCTAAATTATCGTTCTATGATCTCCTGTAGAGAGAGATCACCTTTTTGCTTTCTAGATCTGTGCTGCCTTGGCTGCTTTTGGAAAATGTGTTGATTGCTTGGGTTGTTTTACCCCATAAGGATGGGCTGAGTGTTCTTGAAGATTTCTTGCTATTTTTCTGAGCAATTCTGTGCATTGTCAAACATCTTTAATTTCTTCATAGGAGCCCCTTTGCCACTGCAATTAAACATCTCCACAGAGAAGACTTCCTTTCTTATGTTTACATCTCAGGCAATATTTCTTAGCTACATCCCCATGAAAACTGCTGATTTGGCACTTAAAAGTAAATGCTAATAATGGATAAGCAGGCTTTTAAGTTAAGTGATGAGCAAAGCGTTTAAAATGGTGACCGTGGAAATAAATTCTGTAAAACTTGTTTTTACAGCAAACACACACATTGTTGGAATGAGTGCAACTTTAAATAATGTTGGAGACCTGCAGAGGTTCCTGCAAGCAGAGTACTATACTAAAAATTTCAGACCGGTATGTACACAAAATACTGTAAAACAGTCAATATTGCTGCTGGCTTTAAAATTATAGCAGCCCTGTTCAGACTTTTAACATGGGCCACGTGTTTACTTTCACAATGTTTTAAAAATTAAAGCAATATGCATGGTAAGACTTGTAATGGTACTAACAAACTTCTTTCATGATTTGCCACACGGTGTATTGTGTACGTACATATACTTACATATATGAAATAGTGATTAATCATTATTGTTTATGTAATGCATGTGGAATCTGAGCTGGTGGTCTTCAATCATGAGAACTGTTTATGAACAGTGATGCATATTCTTAGCTAATTAGGCACTTATTTTGCCAGAGCAGATAATTAGATCTGTTTTTAAAGACTGCATGCATGTATTTAAGGGAAGCATGATGTTTACTAAAAAAACAGCTACATATTATTAATGGCTTCATCTTGGTAATTTGACTATTATTTCTGTTTCTGGCTTAAATCAATCTAGGTAGAGTTAAAGGAATACATAAAGATAAGAGATACAATTTATGAAGTTGACAGCAAAGCAGAAAATGGCTTTACTTTTTCACGTCTCCTTAATTTCAAGGTAAGATCTAAGTTTCTTTGAACTATGATTATAAAACATCATTATTTGTTGATGTCTGCAGTGCTTTCACAGAAGAAATAACATAGTTAACTTGTAATGCATATAACAAAGACAATAGCAAACTTAAGAAGAGGAAAAAGGTCCTTTAAATATCAGATATTTAACTCTATTTTAACATTTTTACTGCTCTTAGTAGAAAGTGGGGTTGGTCTGTTTTCTTTTCAGTATTCTCCCATGGGTAGTAAAGGGCTTGAAAATTCCATAGAACTAACTGCTGCAAGTCTTTGGGTAGATTTTCTCAGCTGTTTATCACTTTTAAGTAACAGAACATACATTCTCACTTTTAAATAACAGAACATATGTTCATTGTTATAAGCTTATTACTGACTTATTTGGATTCACTTCAATGTTAAGATTGGTAGCAGTTTACCATCATCCACTTGCACAAGCAGCATTGCTACTGTAACACTACAGGTAAAGATATTAAGGAGGAGGAAGAAGAGTGTTGATTTTTTATATAGATATTCTGAGCTGAATCTTTTGGTAAACTGTAAAGTGCTTGGTTGGGAGAAGTTCATCCTACAAATTCTTGTTTAAGTCACCATAAAACAAGTGGAGAATGCCCTAGGGAAGGCAGAGAACATGTACTGAGTACTTGCTGAGTTTAAGAATTAAATTATACATTTGAAAAATGATGTTTGTCAATCTGTTGATAGTATTCCAGTAGTCTGGAGAAAGCAGATCCCGACCACATCGTTGCACTGGTTACTGAAGTTATTCCAAAATATTCCTGCCTAATCTTTTGTCCCACTAAAAAGAACTGTGAAAACGTGGCTACAATGGTTTGCAAGTATCTGAACAAGTATGTTTTACCTCATGACTTTTTTTTATTATATATGAAATTGTTGGCTAGAACTCAGGGTTTATCTTAACTAGTTTGGAAGTGGCTTTTTCTGGGTGATGAGGTGTACTTTGAATATACAGAATTACATGAAGCTATTAACTGGATATATTATAGAAAATTGCTGAAGGCTTATTAGTAAACTGTTTTACAAGCTTTTTTCAGCAGATGTTACAAATAGAGGACAAATAAATTTAAAAAACATAGTAAGAGAAGGGTATACTAAAAAAAAAAAAAGAAAGAAAAACACTTAATCTTATCTTATTGGCACTTATTTCCACAAGCTACTTAAGGCATTTTCTCTATAGCCCTGTATTTGGTCATGTATGTCATTAGTTGACTATGGAAGTATCAAGTATTCTCTCCTTAGAGGATGTAAACACTAAACTAGGCTTCACATATAGAAGAAGTTGAGATTTGTTTGACTGGATAAAAGTCTGATTTAATATAATTATAGTCTAGTTTAAATAGCATGTAGGAAGAAATTACATTGATTGTTCAAATTCCCAATCTTGGAACCAATTTTAGTGTCTATAAACTTTGCTATAAGCTGATATTGACCTTCTCTCATCTTCAATGTGCCTGATACACACCTAATCAATATTTGATGCCTTCTGTACCCATGCTTCCAAACAAGAACAACAAAAAAAAATAATCAGTTGTGGGTGACTTCAGTCTTTACCTGTGTATTACTATTTTGAAGTATCAGAAACAAATCTTTATCCAAATCTTTATCACATATTTAGTTACAGGAACAGATAATGGAGAGAAATGTAGAAGATGTCTGCCTTAATTTTTTTTAAAGTGATTATTAATTGATCAAAGTCTGAAGAAATGTTTTTTGTTCTCAAAGAGAATTCAGAGCTCACAGGGAGAAAGAGAAACAGGACCTAATTAAGAACCTAAAGGATATTGGAAATGGAAGCATCTGTCCTGTTCTGAGGCAAACAATTCCTTTTGGTGTTGCCTATCACCATAGTGGCCTGACAAATGATGAAAGAAAGAGTATAGAAGAAGCATATTCTAAGGGTGTCCTGTGTCTTCTTGCTTGCACAGCTACATTAGCTGCTGGTGTTAACCTGCCAGCAAGAAGGTAAGTTAACCAAAAATATTACATTGTTTCATTCTTGCATTGTAAATAATAATAAACCTTAAATGGAAATATCAGAACTCTATTAAATATCTTTCAGCTGTTACTTGGAAATTTCAGGAGGAAGTAATTTAACACAGTGAGCTTAGGACAGTGATAACTTTGCAGTTTTAATTCTAGGAAAAACATGTCAGTTACAAGTCTCTCAGAATGCACAGTTGAGGAACACTTTCCTGAACAGATGAAGGAATTTCTACTATATTGAGAAATTTCTTCAGTGTTCAGTAATAACGAGCAAGTGATGATGCTTTTTAAATGCTTTTACAAGAATGTTTAAATCCTAAAATTGTTTTATAAGGAGATGTTTAAACATATTTTACCAGAATAATGTGCTAGCACTCGTTACACAGGTATTGATAGTACAGTTTGCCCCAGTCTTCAAGACCAAGAGACTGTTTGCTTAGAATCCAGTTTTGTGTGTCTGTGTTTGAGTAACACATCTGAGGAGAGAGAACTTTATTTTCCTAACAGAGAAATGTGGTCTGTTTTTAGCACTGCTGACTTAGGGTCAACATTGTTTGTTTGACTAATACAAAGGCTCTGCAGCAATTAAAATGGATTATGATTCAGACTTCAAGGTGTTAGATGTTTCCAAAAAAGTGTTCAACAAAACAAGTACAATGTTGCTTATCTAAGTTGCAAAGCATGAAGCATATCTAGAGATGCATTTTTATGATATTGCAACTACAGTAATTTTAATATTAAGCACAACTTACCAATGATTTCTTTTTACAGGGTGATTTTAAGAGCCCCTTATGTTGCTAGTGAGTTCCTGAAGAAGAATCAATATAAACAAATGATTGGCAGAGCTGGTCGAGCTGGTATTGACAGTGCTGGTGAAAGTATTCTCATAGTGCAGGAAAAAGACAAACATTTGGTAACTTTTATGAAGCTGTTGGTGATTTGAGTCATTGGATTAAGTTGGTGAGATAAAGAAGAGTAGATGAGGTCGTTAGCCTGATCTCAGTAGAATTTGTTTGAGGTAACTGACTTACAAAATACCAGTTAATTGCTTTAGTCATACATGGATTGTTTTCAGGCATTAGCTATAAATGCTTGATGTTTACAGATACTTGTGATTCTGCTTAGAAACAAAGTGTCAGTACTTCAGAACAGCTTAAAACTGTTCCCTAAATATTTTTCTGTACCAATATATTTCTTGGGACCTTTTAGGTTCGGGATTTAATAACCAGTCCTTTGGAGAATTGTTACAGCAATCTTCTGCCAGAGTTCACCAAGGGAATGCAGTACCTGTTGCTATCATTGGTTGGATTGAAGGTATTAGTTAAGTATTATGAGCAGTTAAAGTGTTTGGGGGATGCAATAAATACTTGATTCTGTAGGAAGACCAGGTATTTTTAACAGTTGAACTTAGCTAAGTTCAGCACAGCTTCCCTTCAAATAGGAAGTGAAAAACTGAATAATATTTTCCTCACTTAAAAAGCAATGACATACCATGATGCTTTTCTAGTGTGGACAAAACCGAAGTTATGTCTACGTTCTCCAGTGTCTTAGTACTTCATTTTCTGATGCTAGATTCTACAAATAAAAACTAGCAACAGTCTAAACAAATGAACATAATAGAACAGCCAGGATAGTAAAGAAATGGACATGCTGTCCCATCAGATCAATGATCAGCTGTCTATTCTATTTGTCACTTAGCTCTCTATAAACAACTTAATGATAGTCTGAGTAAGTGTTTTGAATAGCATGCTCTTTTTTGCACAATGACATTTAAACATCTAATTGCTTCCAAATCTTATACAGATTGCAGTTACCCAAGAGGAAGTGTACAGTTTTATGTGCCATACATTGCTGGGTGTCCAGCAGCAGCTGCTGTTGAAAGAGAAGAGCCTCTCAGAGATTGTTAGAGATGAACTAGAAAATCTAATAGAAAAGGGACTCTTAAAAGGAAAAATAATGGAAAAGGATCAAAATTCCAAAAGTACACTAACAGTCACACTGTTGGGTAAAGCTACATATAAAGGTAAGATTAATCTTATTCTTCAACAAGCCCTTTCATCTCAGCCTTACCTTTATTAATGTGGCTTTCTTCTCTTTGAAAAGGCAATTAAAAAAAAAAAAAAGCTTGCCCAGTGCAGGTTTAGTTACTAAATAATGTGTTGGACTGAAATTGAGAATGAGTAAGCATTGTGTGACTGAACGTTACAGGTATGAATCTTAACAACATGAATAACAAGACGACTCAAACTAGAACTGTATTAAAATTAATGACTTAATTTGATTTAGCATTCGTAATGAAAATTACTCACAATCTCATTTTTACAAGTAGGCTAAAAAATAATGTTACTCACAATGCCTATTAAGAGACTAATGGGGAAAGGAAGTAATATTACATGTGGTCCAAATCTAATGTAAAAAGTATACCAGTGTATGGTCAGTAAGTATACAGAGGTTAGGCTTGATAAGATGTAGGATCAATAAGTATAAGCCTAACATCAATAAGATGTCAGCTTAGCAAGATAATCACAGTGGAAAGATATAAAATTAAATGAAAATGCTCACCAGCATTGTAGGCTCACAGTAAACTCCTCAAGGAGCAACCTCCAGACACATCCTTCCTCAGTAGCAGTCAGTCCTTAAGAGGGGTCTAAGAGAGGTGGAGCCAGCCTTCATCCCCTCCTGGTAGCACAAATGAATTGCCTTCACCTGTGCTCCTGCAGCTGACTCATTGCTTGCCTCAGGTGGTCAATCAGAGGTTCAGGCTGTGATCAAAAGTTCCCATACAACCAGAAAGTACAATTTTTTTTCATCTCATAGCATAAAGATGTAGGACAAGGAAAGCACTTGTATTTCACAGGCTGAAGCTATCTCTCAGTTTCATACAAGAGTTTCTTCAAAAGAAGATAATTCAAACATTCCAGAAGCACACAAAATGTATGTGGAAACCAGTGCTCACAGACTTTTTGCAGTTCCTTTTTGCCAATAATGATAGATAACAATGATTTGGGCTACGCTTTCCTCTTGGATTAAGACTGCACTACCAACAAACTTTCCTGGAAAAAATAAAATGACTTCATGTGAGAATCTGTTGCACTAAACTCTGTATGCCTACCTAAAATTGCTGTGCATTGTCTGCTTATTTTAGGCTCTATAGATGTGTCGTACTGCAATCTTCTTTACAAAGAACTGAGGAAAGGCTTGGAAGGGCTGGTTCTTGAGAGCAGTCTTCATCTTCTCTATTTAGCTACTCCATATGACATGGTTTCCAACTGCAGCCCAGATTGGATGATATACTTGAGGCAGGTGAGATCTGCATTTCAATGTTTGATTGGGGCATATACTAATGCTGCTTAGTGGATTGAGTGTGTTTATACATACAGAACATAACTAGTACAATAATGCTTTGATGAAAAGGTAAAGATGTTAATGTTTTCAGTCATAGGGCAGAAGTGCTTTTCTTTACCTCAAGAACTTAATTTGTGTTGTGCATTGATATTTTGTTCTCTTACTGAGAAACAGCGGCACAATGGCACTAAAGTCTGTATAACCGGGTTTGTACTCAACAGTTTGACAGGTAAAGAAGCTGCAGATCTGACTGCAGAGAAGTCAGCCTAGTATTCAAATATTAGATACAGATATTTAAAAGCACAGTTTTCCTTTCAGTAGCAGACTTCTGGTTTCAATAACATATTTCATAAGAAATAGTTGTCTGAATTTTGTAGGAAATTATCCTGAAGAGTTGTTCTGCAAGCTCAAGCATGGAGTACAGGAAAAAAAAAATTGTTTGTTGGTCGTGGAGCTTCTTATTTTTGAAATATTTGGTGAAACTGAACCAGATCTGTTTTTTATGTAACTCCATACTAGCATTAATCACTATCTGACAGGGAAGAACTTAAATTCCAGATGTGTTTAAGTAAATAACAAGACTTGGAAGAAAATACTAGAGCACGTAGAAAAGCTACTGGTAGTTTGTGGTTTTTAACTAATTTATCTTGAATTTTATATAGATAACTGTCATTACCAGACAAGGTGAGAAATGTGATGCTGTGTGCACCTTAATAATTAAGCTGTGTATGCATTTAAAAAAAAACACACCCTTTCTACACATATACAGATGTGTTCAGCTGCTAAACTTCTGGTGTATGTGGCTTTAAACCAGTTGAGTTAAAGGTGAAAAAGTATGTTAGTTTCTTATTTGTGGAGGAGCAGGGAAAGCAAAATTAGCTATTTGCCTGCAGGTGGTGTGTGTATTAAACAAATGTGATGTGAATTACTTTTTAGAGTTAAATATACATTGTCTAGAGCTATTATGATTTGTAACATTTAATTTCTAATTAGTTGTAATGAAGAAATGATTTTGACTGTAATCAATCTTCCTTTAGTTCAACCAGCTGAGTTCAGCAGAGCAAAAAGTAGCAGATATGGTAGGAGTACCTGAGAGTTTTATTGCAAAAAAGGCTTCTGGTCAAGCCATCAGAAAGGTAGGCTGGAGATTTCTTACACTAAGACAACAGTGTAGTCTTGTAATTCAACTGTTTAAAAATGCTGGATAACTTTCCTGAAAGTATTTAATGATTACTCTTCTTTTACTCATTAACTTTCTTTTCACCTCATCTTGTTTTTCATAATGTTTAATGTATTAGGGTCTAACATATTAGAATATATTAGAGATGTGAAGGAACAGACACGTAAAGACTTAATCCTTGAAGAATGAGCAGAAAATTGTGAATTTTATAGGGGGTACTGAGTTCTAACTTGTTTTATTCCTAGAATGTGGACACTGCTGTTGTGAACAGGCTGTACCTGTCATTTGTCCTGTATGCCCTACTGAAAGAGACCAACATATGGAGCGTCTCAGAGAAATTCAACATGTCCCGAGGTTACGTGCAGAATCTCCTTACATCTGCTGCCTCATTTGCTTCTTGTGTTCTGCATTTCTGTGAGGTAGTGTACTAAATATCTCCTAGTATCTTCTCTTGATTGGCTTTGCAAAATTTGAAGTTTTCTTCTGTTATGTTAAACTCAATGCATACATTGCATTTCACCTCTCCTGTGCGTAACTACACATTGTCAAGAAAAGAATGCCAGTACAAAGCATATTTCTTGTGTTAACAGTAAGCTTGATGGACAGAGAATACAAGAATACCTACTTTAGAGGTCACTGATCAGTGTCATTAAGTGCAGTTGATGGAAAATTATGAGCTTACCTTTGTGAGACGAGGCCTTCTGGTTATGGAATGTCACTGTGAGAAAAGAGCTGTCTTGGTTGTTTCTTAACCATCCCAGATTTAATTGAGGAGCGCCAGATGCAACTCTGCAACAAGCTGTAAGAATAGCAAGAAGAGTTTTCCTACTGTCTTTTTTACTGCCTTTTACTTTGACTTCTAATTGTCCTTGTCTCTGCAGGAACTGGAGGAATTTTGGGTTTATAAAGCCCTGCTGACAGAACTTACCAAGCGCTTGACATACTGTGTTAAGACAGAGCTCATTCCACTGATGGAGGTAGCAGGGGTTCTAGAGGTAAGTAAACCTATCTTCAACAATTGGACAAAGGCAAACTTTTGTGCTAAATGTTATTATCACTAAAGTATGTCTGGAAGAGCAGGCTAGATTTTATTCCAAATCTGTCATCATAGGAATACCTCGCAACAGTCTGTTATGTCAGGTACTGTTGGGGGAATGCGAGCTGGAGCCAGTCATATTCTCCTTCCAGTTGCTGCTGCAGCAACAGTGAAAGCACTGCATTTGCATACCAATTTAGAGCTTTGTGCTCAACTGTAAAACACAGCCCAGGTCAAGTTTATTTTGAGGTTAAGTTAGAAGATTATCACAGAACTTCGGGAAGTTACATAGGGAACATAAGCTTCTAGTATCACTAATGCTGGTGCATGTATTTCAAATGAGAGATGTGACTGGTTTCTGAGGGCTCCTATTCAAGCATTAAGATACTGTGGGAACTGAGTGCAGGATTGTGAGTGAACCTCCTTTGAAAAGGATGTGTCTTTTCTATTCCAGCATACTGTAGAAATCACGTTGTCAGCAGATTGGTGGCAGTGAATTTTTACACTGAAAAGTTAAAGCTATGGAGACTTACACCTTGATGCATTTTGTATGAAATAGCCTGAATTTAGTATAAGGGGAGAAGAAAGGTCTTCATTCCATGGCTTGAAGCCTTTAAGGGCAAGAAGAGTCTGAACAGCATGATTCTACTGAAGTTACATTGTACAGATTGTTCTTGAAATACATTGCTCTCATCAAGGTGCTTTTAAACAATAATTAAAACCATTTAAATCATACTGACAGCTGGTACTTCTAGCAGATACTAACATCTTGAACAGGCATGATTTACATAGTTTTGTGTGTAGGAAACTGATAGAATCAATATTTGGCTTAGCATAGTAAAAGAGAAAACGTCCTTAGAATTTTGAGTTGCCAAAGAGCAAACTATGTTTTCCCTGTTAGTTATTAGCAAGGGCAGGTTCTGAGCTATCAGTCATACTGTGCATACAGCTACAGAACAGTACAGAAGAGGTCTGCTGGCATTTAATGGATTTTTTTTTGTGAATTATGACACTTCACATCACTAAGTACTCATGTGTTGTTTGTAAGCTTTTCTGTTGGATACTTGTACTATATATATATATGCCATCAGATTAGATTTCCTATTCCTTGGTGCCTTAACAATAGGAGAAAAAAAAGTGTGATTGACAAAATATATGATGGCAGTTGTATGATCAATAAGCACACAGATGTTATATAGTATATAGAGAAGCTAAGCTGTTAAGATTATCACATTGGGAAAGACAATCAGAGATAAGTGAAAAGTACTCACCAGTGTTGTAGACTCACAAAAAACTCCACAAAGAGCAACCTCCAGAAGAGATCCTTCCTCAGTGGCAGGCAACCCTTAAATGGTGCCACCCCTTCTGGTCACACAGCTGAATTGCCTTCACCTGTGCTCTGGCAGCTGACTGAGTGCTTGCCTCAGGTGATCAATCAGAGGTTCAGGCTGTGGTTCAGCAGTTCCCATACGGCAGTGTACCACTTTTCCATCTGATAGGAATTATTACTCAGGCAGTTAGAGCCTTGGCATTACCAAATGCTTTAAAAACTAGCCTAGAAATGCATTTGACTTAAACTTTGTATACAAGTTCAATCACTGTAAGTTTTGCAAAAGAAACATCTCCAAAAAGACGGTATACAGTAATTACTGTTGGGCTGCATTGCATTCTTATACCACAACAGGACCAAGCCTAGTAAAGAGAAGCAGGCCACACGTACTCCCATGCTGATTTTAGCTGTCAAATTCCAGAGAATCTCTCCTGTCCTTGTGAGCTAACAGCCATGACTTGGTGTAAAACTAAAGGAAAAGATACAATTGAGTAAAGCAAAAAAAATATTAATAAGCTCTAAGCAGCAAAGTGCAGTCTTATCTGGAGTGCTATGGAAGCTCATGAGGTGGTATTAAAAGTTGCAGAAAAATAGGGGCAACACTTTTCAGGCACAACAAGCTCTCATTTCATTTAGATCTTCTAAAGAAGATAAGGCAGTGATTTGTGTCAGTGACAGCAAATGCAGAAAACGTGACAAAAGAGAAATGAGGGTGGCAGACACAGTACTGTGCAGGTGCAAAGGAAGTAATGATACCTGGTTTACTTAGAACTGTGTAAGGTTTTTCAGGTTTAAGTCAGTACCTCTGAATTGCTAGTGCCAGTTCGTCTGAGGCTTGCTGTTCTTGGAAAGGTGAATCAAAGGGAACCTGGATCACTATTAAAAAATATATAGATATAAATGTCTGAGGTGGATTGAGGATTCTTATTGCCTCTTAAAATAACCTAACACAACTTCTGTCTTACAGGCACGAGCTAAACAGCTTTATAATGCAGGGTACAAAACTTTAGCACACTTAGCTAATGCAAACCCAGAAACTCTGGTGAAGACGATCGAGCATTTGTCACGACGTCAAGCCAAACAAATGGTTTCGTCTGCAAAGGTAAGCAAGTATGTTAAAAGAAACTACTTGAGGAATTCAAAGTTTCAAAAATGAATATTTGAATAACATTAAAAGAAAGTGGAAGATTCAGTTTAGAAATGAAGGCATTTGTGAATATTTGCAGTGGCAACAGTGATCAGTATTAATCTAGTGAGTTCATTTTCTTAACCACATTATTTATCTAAGATGATTACAATGGGGGTGAATTCAGCGACTATAGCCCATGATGCACTTAAATGATTGGCAAATAGAAACTACTTAAACCAATTCTTTTTCTGTGGGGGGGTCATAAAGAGTTCTCTTCATTAGAGAAACAAAGACCAGAAATGTTCTGGTAGCTTATCTGGAACAGTGAACAGTACAAGGTCTTGGCATAATACATAAGAAGATATTAGATCTTGGAGTGCTGCAGTCCTGTGAGCAACAGCATTGTTTCATTTCATTTTTCAAGACCAGATACAAACCTGGAAAGGAACACTGATGTTTAATCCTAACAGTATCGCAAATGATTGTCTTAATTTTCTAATTGTTTGATTGCTATTACAGATGCTGCTGACTGAAAAAGCTGAAGCTTTACAAGAAGAAGTAGAGGAACTCCTAAAGGTGCCTACGGATATCCCATAAACCTACTGACCAGCTCAGTCATGAAAAAAATAATAATGAATTGAAGTATTTGGGCATGTCTTAGGTTTTAACTTTGTCCTATGTATACATGCTGTAAATATAATAAATATTTATTATCTTTTATATACATCATATTTGTGTGAATTCTGAATGGAAAGTATTTCTTGGAAACTTTTCTTTATTTGAAAATTTTGATAATGAATCTCTTCTGCACAGACCAGAATCAAAAGATGTGCTATTAAATAGCTCCCATCTTTATACATAGCTCTAGGAATGCTTTGGGGGCTGGACTTAGGTGGTGGTGTGTACTTATGTACATAGAACTATGGCTCATAGCTGGCTTAAAAAGCACAGTAAAAAGTGACGTGGTAGCATCATACGCATCCTTTAGGACACCCATGTGTGAGCAAACTACTTTGAAACTTCTGCTGATAGGAGTTCCTGTCTTCTGGGGAAAGCTAATGGAATGAGAAATAGAGTTGTAGCTCTAATGAAGAAATACCAGAGTTGCATAAGGAATTGTAGATACTGCCTCTTCTAAGTACTATTTTTAACAGATTTAACAGATTTGAACACCAAATTCTGTCTCTGTTAATGCCTGGGGAGAGAATTGTTAAGGATGATTCTGTAAAAGACTTTCAAATAGGGTTTAAATTTTATTGAAAGGTTTTGAATATTAAGGCAATATCAGAAGCCATATCAACTTCTGAGACTACAAAGGCAAATGATAGTTGTAGTAGTAAGGGTATTGAAAGCCATATAAAAGAGAGCAGTTCTAGCAAGAAGTTATGATTCATAAAAGCGGCTTAAAAATGTCTTAAATATTCAGTCATGACACAGTTGAGCTCCTTTTTCAAACTGCTATGTAAAACATGATAACGTTAAAGCACTTCACATGAAGAGTTATCAAATATAGTTGGGTCTGCATTATAGAACACTGCTTCAAAAGGTGGTGGTGAATAAATGATGAGTAGTATTTTACTGCTGACTTGCTTGTTTCATTAGAGAAACCTTGAGTAACAAGTAAATAATCTATTAGCCTTCTTTTGATGAAAAAATGCCTAAAAAGTTTAATTCTCCTACTTTCCTAGTGGCTTTGGGATTTTAATAAATGGAATCGAATACTTGGAATATTAAACCAGGCCAAGAACTTCAACTGTAAGTTATTTCCAACACCTAGCCAGTTGCTTTAAAGGCTTATTGCTTTGCTCAGCTGTTACTCCACTTGAAATGGTCTTACTTAGAACCTCATACTGAGGGATTTTGGAAACAAGCATAAAAACACGCCAACGTTTCTGAATTAATCCTCTACAAATAATACAATAAATCCTTACAGAAGGTAGCTAACCTGCTGGCCAATCCTTGCAACCCTCTCTCACCACATGTGATGTGTGACACACACATTCTGTGCGTGGCTTGCAGAAGGCTGTGTCCAGAAGGGGCTGGCAGGAGGCTTGCAGCCAGGTTCACTGCTGTGGTCTCTGTTCTGGAAAGGTGCTGCAGTGAGAGCTGACTCAGTGTCAGCTCCTGTTTCATCCTGTGACTGAAAGCTTCATTCATCGCTTCCACGGGCCTGGCATGGGGTGCAGGTTGCAATGAATACAAAGCACGTGAAGGTTTTGTTTAGGTTTATAGAAAAATTATCTGGCTTCTGAAATCAAAGATTTGTGGTACACAGTATGAGGAGACATGAGGATGATGTGGGAGGCCTTTGAGAAGCACAGCCTGTGGTTTTAATTATTTAAGAGACCTAATTTTCAGTACATAGTCTACTTTTGCAATTGAGTTTTGTTTCAGTGAGGTTTCTTACATAGAAAGACTGATCTGACACCGCCAGTAATGTTGATCTGCACAAATGCTGTGATGCCACAAGAGACGTTTGCCTTTTGTACTGTTTATTCTACCCTTCTGCATTTCCTTTGCCCACATAAAAGTCAACTGGTTCTTGCTCAGGAAGAGCTGGGGTGCTGCTGTTGGTGATAGCTCAGCACTTCCATGGTTGGGCTGCACAAATTCCCAGAAAGCACTGTTATTGCTATGAACTCCTGCTGTGTGCCTGCCATTGGCACCACTGGCTCCAGTGCAGCAGGGGTGGTGACAGTGGGACAGGGCCAGTGTGGATGGAGCATTAGCACTAAGAAAGGGTTTTTAGGCATGTCCTGGCCCCTACACCCTCGCTCTGGAGCTCCCAGTAAAGCACTTTGCTTGCACTTCGATGAGTGACAAATACTTCTGTATTCATCTCCCTTTCTCTGCAGGATTTTAAAACGTGCTTAATGCCATGTGGACAACACCCTAACAAGTAATGCTAATTGTCGTGTAACACCTGTAGTGTTACTTTGCAGCTGCGAGGGGCAGCAGGCTCCCCTAGGGCCAGCAAGCACCGGACCCATCATTGCCACGATCCGCTCTCAGTGGATTGCATCCCAAATGTAGCATGGATCACTGGATCCACGTCCCAGTCGCAGGGCTGGGTGGCTGCTGCAAAACCCATGGGATGGATGCAGGACTTACTGCAACTCACCCCGCAAAGGGTAGATGCGTGCCATAGCCCAAAATTGGAAGCATCCTGCTGATCGTGATGCCAAGAGGAGTGTCGCTGATGCTTCCGCTCCGGCAGAACCGTGGGTGTGTTTACAAACGGCAGCGCTCATGCGATCTGGTTGGTCTCGTTCTGGCGGAGGGTGATTTCATATCAGGAAAACTGGGAGCGGGTGGCTGCGGGGCGGTGCTGGGGCTGCCCGCCCTCCAGGGGTGGTGCTGGGGCGGCGGAGCGGCCCGGAGGAGGAGGAAGATGAGAAGAAGAAGGAAGGATGCTGGTGCTGGTGCTGCTGCTGCTGCTGGCTGTGCCGCCGAGGCAGACGGCAGAGCTGCAGCTGAGGCTGCGGGAACCCATCGGGGCGGTAAGCCCAGCCTTCCTCTCTCTTACGCTGGATGCCAGCTTGGCCCGTGACCCGCGCTTTGTTGCCCTGCTCAGGTGAGCCCTGCAGCTGCTCCACTCCTGGGTGAGCGGGTGAGAGGATGCCAGGTGCTGGTGTGTGATGCTGGCAGTGGATGATGCTTCTGGCTGGGACAGAAGCAGGCTGAGCCTTGGTGCTGCTCTGTGGATGCTTAGTGGGACTCTGGGTGCTGTGAGCCCCACTGAATGCCAGAGAGGTTCTGATGTGCGTGGAGGTGAACAAGTAGCTGCTAAAATCAAAGCCTTTTCTGACTGTGAGCAAATCCCAGCTCAGGGCTTCCAGACGATGGGCTCCTGGACTCTTCTTTCAGCTCTATTTCTTTGTTCTCTTCTCTTTTAGATTCAACTTTTTGTGGGTTTTTTTTTTTGTTTGTTTGTTTGTTTGTTTGTTTGTTTTCCCCAAAGTCATTTAATTTCTTTCCTTTTCACCCACCCAATCCCAAATTCTAGCCCTGCCCCATTGCTCTGAAACTGTAAGGCAGCATCAGCTTTATCTGAAGGCAGGCAGCTCTGGCTGCTGTGATGACATCAGGAAGTGCTTGGTGGCTTCGTATCTGCTGGGTGTCCCCACAGAGTGAGATAGGGCTGCTGCCATCCCAGATAGCACTGGAACTGCATCTGCTTTACTTTGAACACTCATTCCACACACGCTCTGGTTTTGGTACAAAATCTATCCATTTGGTGGTTGTCCATGGAAAAAGGGAGAAATGGTGTAAAGCCAGCCTGAAGCCCACACTCGGGTGGCTCAGATCCTCTGCTGCAAGGTGTCTCTCTGAATGCTGCTGATGCTTTGTTTCCATGTGGCAGATTACCCTGACATTTAATTTACCTTCCACAGACACCCCAAGCTGCACACTCTGGCCAGTGGGCTCTCCCCAGGCTTCCTGAGGTTTGGAGGCACTAGTACAGATTTCCTGATCTTCAATCCCAAACAAGATTCAACTTGGGAAGAGAAAGTCCTATCAGAACTTCAGGCCGAGAGTGGTAAGAGGGATTTGATCCCGTGCTGCGCAGAAATGGATGTCTAGTGCTCAGCCCCACACACACCTCTCCCATTTCTTTGTGATGAGTATGACCCTTTGTGTGTTGCCTGATATGGTGATGGCAGCTTGGTTTCTCCCACCCTTCTTCTGCCCTACAGATGTGTGCAGATCATGGCCCAGCTCTGCTATGGTTCCAGAGCTGTTGCTCACTCAGTGGCCCCTCCAGGAGAAACTGCTCCTTGCTGAACATTCCTGGAAAAAGCACAAAAACACCACCATTACAAGTAAGTTTTTGATGGATTTTCCCAGTAGGGTTTACAACCAGCAGGTTGCAGTCCGCAGTTCCCAGCTCCATGCTGAGACATCAGGATGAAGCCATCTTCTGCTTCATGCAGGAAACACACTGGACATCCTCCACACATTTGCCAGCTGCTCAGGCTTCCGCCTGGTGTTTGGACTGAACGCACTGCTGCGCAGGGCCGGCCTGCAGTGGGACAGCTCCAACGCCAAGCAGCTGCTGGGCTACTGTGCACAGCGCAGCTACAACATCTCCTGGGAGCTGGGCAATGGTAAGCATTCCCACTTTGGCTGGGGATGAGCCCTGTGCACAGAGCGGTGCTGATGGGCACCTCTTCCCCAGAGCCTAACAGCTTCAGGAAGAAGTCGGGCATCTACATCGATGGCTTCCAGTTGGGACGCGATTTCATCCACCTGCGGCAGCTCCTGAGCCAGCACCCCCTGTACCGACACGCTGAGCTGTATGGCCCCGACGTGGGGCAGCCCCGCAAGCACACCCAGCACCTGCTCAGAAGGTAGACAGGGTGTCCAGGGCCCGTGTGACACCATTGGGAGGGTAGCAATGATGTGATCTGGGAACCACGGCATGCAGGGACGTAGGGTGGATGCTGCAGCATGTCACCAGTACCTGCTATAACCCTTGTTTGACTGCAGCTTCCTGAAATCCGGAGGGAAGGCGATTGACTCTGTCACCTGGCACCAGTGAGTACCCTCAGCTGCTATCGCTGCTCTGCTTATTGGCTCTTATTTTTTTTTTAAGAAATGTCAATTCACATATGCTAGTGGAAAGGAAGAGGTGAAACAACTCTGTTGGCAGGTCCCAAATGCCTCTGTATTGTGCTTTGCTCTAAATAGCAGAGTATTCAAACAAGACCCAAAATCTATTCCAGGAGTTGCATAGACATAGCAGCAGGGAATGCGGTGCGTGCAAGGTCATTTTGATTACAAAACACGTTTTATCAATAAAAAGAGAAATGATGTGCAGAGAAGTGAGAGCACAGCAGCTCTCACTTGCAATGCAAGAGCTGCATTGTATCTCTCCCTCTTGCACGGAGAGCTGCGCAGCTTTTTGGCATATGCTGCACTTTGGTGGGGAACAACAGTACCCTTGGTCCACCTGCAGAACATCTCCACCCACAACTGGGGCTTGCACCAAGTCCTCCAGCCACAGAAAGATATGTGACTGGGAAGGGATGTGGCTCAGCACAAACCAGATGGATGCAGCATGGTTGCAAAGACAAGCAGTGGCTCTGTCCGTTAGAACAAATGCTCAGCAGCTTCCCAGCTGGTGCAGGGACATTTAGACTGAGCTTGAGTGAGAGCAGGTACCAATGTTGATATTTTTCCTTCATTTCAGCTGTTGGTTTTTTTTTTGTTTTTTTTTTTTCCATTTCCAGCTACTATGTGAATGGCCGAAGTGCAACAAGGGAGGATTTCCTGAGCCCTGATGTGCTGGATTCCTTTGCCACAGCCGTACGCAATGTCCTGGAGGTGCCTGCTCTTCTTTAATCCTCCCCGTGTGGCTTTGCACAGAGACTGCTCTGCTGTGCAACAATTAATAAGCATCCTCCAAACTCAGCTGCTGCTGACAGTGTAAAAATCCTTAATTTTAGCAAAAGTAATAATAAGTGCAATGGGCATAGGTGGTTGCAGTAACTTCAGCAGACAAAGCTTGACCTATCTCCTATTTCCTTTCCCTCTCCACATAGATTGTGGAAGCAACAGTTCCCGGTAAGAAGGTATGGCTGGGTGAGACCAGCTCAGCGTATGGCGGGGGAGCCCCCCAGCTATCCAACACATATGTGGCCGGCTTCATGTGAGTGGCACTGGGAGCACGGGAGCTGCTCTCATGCTGAGCCCCAGTGTGACCTGTGGCCGGTTCCCGGCAGGTGGCTGGACAAGCTGGGGCTGGCAGCTCAACGTGGCATTGACGTGGTGATGAGGCAGGTCTTCTTTGGAGCTGGCAGCTATCACCTGGTGGACAGCAGCTTCAAGCCCTTGCCGGTGCGTACATGACCTGCTGGGAAACACCATGTCACCAGGCTGCCAAAATCCCTGGGTATTTCTCCCTGATGTCGTGCCCATAAATCGGGCATGGGGTTTTCCTGCATGGAGAGTAGTGCGTCCCCTATGGGTTCCCTGCCAGCTCCACAGTGCCCTGCAGAAGGAGCATAGCATTGCCAAAATCCAGGTGACGTGAAAAGCTATGGGGACAGAAAGTGGAGTTGCTTCAAAAAAATGAGTGCTTGGTGGAGATGAATCCCATTCCCCCAGGACTATTGGCTGTCACTGCTATATAAGAAACTGGTGGGCACCCGGGTACTGGAGGCCAGCGTGGAGCAAGTGGATGCACGGCGCCTGCGGGTTTACCTGCACTGCACCAACCCCCAGCAGTAAGCAGCAATTGCCCACGTGGTGGCAACACTATGGCCAGAGGAAAGAGGAAGTGTGTGGGTGTCTGTTGTTTCTACCAAACTCATTATCTCTCTCACACAGCCCCAAATACCGAGAAGGGGATGTAACACTGTTTGCCTTGAACCTCTATAACGTGACCCAGCGCTTGCAACTGCCTAAGCAGTTGTGGAGTAAGAGCGTGGATCAGTACCTGCTGCTGCCTCACGGCAAGGACAGCATCCTGTCCAGGTGAGCCCATACCTCTTCCTTTTGGAGCAAGGACTGAGCAGCGTGTAGGCAGCCTCAGAAACCTTGCTCATTTGGGGGCTGTTTGTCGTGCTGCTCTGGGTGCCCTTGCTCACACCCAGAGCCAGAGATGATGCCTGCAGTATCCCATCATGCCTTGGCAGAGAGGTGCAGCTGAATGGCCGCCTACTGCGGATGGTGGACGATGAGACGCTCCCCGCACTGCACGAGATGGCCCTTGCCCCTGGCAGCGTGCTCGGCCTGCCAGCCTTCTCTTATGGTTTCTACGTGATCAGGAACGCTAAGGCTATTGCTTGCATTTGAGCACACAGAGTAACAGGGCTCACCATGCGGTGCCACTTGTTTTTGCCAGGTAGGGAGATTGTGGTCACAGGCTAGAGAAAGCCAGGTCACCAAAAAGGCTTCGGCATCCTAAGAGCAATACTTGAGGTGTTTGCATTCCTCCTTCTGGGGAAGCAGCCCATTTGGGACAAAATTGCCTCACAGCAGCTTTTTTCACCTATATAAGGTGAGTTCCCACCAGTGCAGCTGGTTCTCTTGGAAGTATGCAACTCGCACCACCAGCAGCGCCTTACAATGTTCAGAACACAGCAGGGAGAAAACTAACATGCATCGTACTTCCCTTCTTTGAGCTTTAAAATGATGCTACTGGCTTAGTGTGGTTTCAAGGCAGAGGAGTGGCTTGTAGTTCGCATGAAGGCTTTACAGCAGCAAGCAAGTTGATGTTCTTTGGAACTGTGAACAAAAAGGCACAATAAAATTTATATTTTAATGCAGAGTGTGAAAGGAGTGTTTGCCCATGCAGCGTATGTGCCTTGTGTGAAGGCTTATACACCAGGAGGTGATACATATCCAAAACACAGATAGGAAGCGCAAAGTTTTTTAACACTGTCCTAGTTCAAAAAGGGAAGTACATAAGGCATAAAATGAGTGGAAAAATCTCACGTTGTCAATATAAAGTTGTTAGTGTATTATTGTTATTACAATAATACAACAATATAAGCTAAAATTTAGACATAAAAGCTGAAGGTTGACTGGTAGTTTTAAACCTTTCTGAACAGATTTGTTTCGATGCTTGTGACTTCGATATTGGACTTTAAAAAAGTGATTTATATTAACTTTTGGCAATTTTCCTAGAAACTCTGCCCAGTTGGGGGTGGTTATTACCTGCAGGCAGCAGCGCTGGCTCTGCAGCCTCCACCATGGTGCTGGAGACTCACATCTGCGCATTTACGCCACACCTTGATCTCTGACCACAACCTGCATTCCTACATTCGTTTTCGTTTCTGACACAGGAAATGGCATTGCTCACACTTGGTTTACTGTAGATCAGTTTATGGAAGGTGGAGTAATATCAGTCACATGAAAACAGGGAAAGGGGAATCTTCTGAGAATGGGGAACAATTTGGCAATTGTGAGAGGAAGATGGCAGTGGGATGTTAAAGACATTAGATGATTTCTTTAACATCTGAAATCTTTCATTCCCTAGATATTGCTTACGAAGGGCTAGGGTACTTTACAAGGAATAGAAATCCACTGATAAAAAAAACTTTTCTAGCTTGTTTTCCCAAACTTCTTAAATGTAGCCTGCAGAAGCCCTGGAGTTTGCTCATTGCTTATTTCAGAGGATACGACCAGAAACCCTGTCATTGTAACAGCAAATGGAATAAAACTTAACAAGACAGTGAGCTGTGTCTGACAGCACAGGTCAGGATGCAGGATGGTTTCCTCCAGCATAGATAAACAGCAGTGAAGCTTTCCTGGAGGTTTCCTAGGCCTGAATTAAGCCTGGGGTGACTGTTCTTGTCATGAAACATGACTAAAATGGAAAAAAAGAAATAAAAATTTCTGAGTTTTACTCAGCCAGAGCAGGAGTATCCCTTGCACATTGATTTACAGCTGTGGAGTGCCACTTATCAGAATGGTGACTGGAAACATGTGAAAGTCACTTTGTTATTACAATGGTTTTCTACTTCCTCCTGGCAGTCAGCAATTTGTGGAACTAAAACTGTTTCTCTTGGTTTTCATCCGTGCAACAGCTCACAGCGCTGAAGGAAGTATGATAGGGAAACTGTTTTCTAAGAACCCCTCAATGGTAGCTCAGGAAAGTTTTTATTGCCCACATCACACTCACCAGATTAACTTTTACAGCTCTATCCAAAGCTCACGTCCCCAGTTTATGCTTTATTTGCAATTAAGTAACAGAACCAAGGAGATGAGGCTGCAGATCTGGAAGCCTTTTGCAAAACTGTGAATGTTTCGTGTTTATGGTCTGGAAAACGAGACATACACTGCTGCGTGGGTACATATGTCCTTGCATGCTACTAACCTGAAGGAAATTGCATGCATTAAACACTTCGGGCAAATTCTGTAGCCAAAGCAGACAGGCTTGTAGTGAGATGCTGCACTATAGTAGTCGAGAGACTAAAACGTGTTGTCACTTGGCTCCTTCAGGCAGAGCAACTGCTGCTCAGAGCCAGTGTCAGGCAAGGCCCCCACACAGTCAAGGGCTGCTGGCCGTCTCCTATTGATTGCCAGCTTTCGGTGTCACTCCTGTCACCGAAAGGAGCCAGTAACAGTTGCCAAAAGCCGGTAACACCAGCCAACCGTCCATACGCCACCCCTACTGTGGCGGCCCCGCGGCGGACAGACGGCACCGCGCATGCGGCGTGCCGTGCCACATCGCCTCGCCGGAAGACGCGGAAGCGCGTCTGGCGACGGCAAGATGGCGGCGCTATTGGCGAGATTCAGCCGGGCTTCCTACCGCTTCCACGCCGCGCGTCCGACCCTGGCCGCCACCGCCGCCCTGCCGCTCCGCTGCCCGGCCGCCCCCCCGGATCCTCCGCGGACCCTCAGTTTCTCGGCGGCCGAGCTGGTGCGGGCCGCGCCGGGTCCGCTGCGGCCCTATCTACACTTGATGCGCCTGCATCAGCCCGCCGGTACGTGCGCGAGGCGGGGCTTGCGTCATGTGGTAGCCACAGCGACGCGGTGGCCAATGGAGGGCGGGGGCGCCGTCACCATGGCAACGCGGCTGGCGTAGCGACGCGGGGGGCGCGGTATGCTAAGGAAGCGGTAACCATGGCGACTTGCATGGCATCCCCGGCGGTGGCGGGAAACGCTGTTGCCAGGGCGCTGAGACGTGCCCGATGGAGGCTTGAGCCTGCTCGGTGATGCTCTCTTTCTCTCCTTGCCCGTTCTGACCTCGTTCTGCCCGCAGGGACGTGGCTGCTGTACCTGCCGTGCACCTGGAGCATCGGGCTGGCGGCAGAGCCGGGCTGCCTACCTGACTGGCACATGCTGTCCCTGTTTGGTGCCGGGGCGGTCCTCATGCGTGGGGCTGGCTGCACCATCAATGACCTGTGGGACCGTGACTATGACAAACAGGTGGAGATTTTCCTCCCCCGTCCCTTTTTCCAGCATGCATGCAATTCATTTGTCTGTGTTTCTTCCTAGGGTCCTGGCAATAATTTTGTTTTGTATAATGCTACTGCATAGGACTGCAGCAATCTACTCAGAGGGTGGTGAGGCCCTGGCACTGCTGCCCAGAGAGGCTGTGGACCTCACTATTGGTTTATTTTCTTCTCTGATCCTAGGTTTGCCCTGTGATTTTTAATATTGGCCACTGTGAGGTTTTCCTTCCAGCACTGTTCTATCTGTCCTACTGGGGAAGTAATGACTCAATAAAGGTTTTGGGGCATCTTTGGCTGGTTTAGGGTTCAGAGATTATTAACAGCTCCATATGCCAAGAAGATTCCCCAGGGTGTGCAATCAGTATGCTGGACTTGATATCGTAATTCGTATATTTATGCATTAATTTGATGTGGTTAAATGTAAAGGCTCAAATGTTCCCATAGCAGGTCTTTCTTATATACTTAAAAAGGCAGCCTGCAGAACAAACATGCTGCAGGCTGAGTCAGTAGCAGGATTGGTTTGTGCTGCTAGTCATGGTTTGGGATTTGGTTTTGATATTAGTGATTTTTTGATAGATGTGTATTTTATTTTTTTCTTTAAATGGATCATGTCATGTCCTAGTTTTGATGTGCAATAGTGTTGGTCACAGCAGTGTAAAGCATGTATTTAAACTGCAGAAACAGTATTTGAAGTTTTAGCAGAAGTTATTTAGGAATAGAGGAAAAACAAATTAAGGGGGCATATTTAAGTTCACATTGTTAAGGCATGTGCAAAACACATGATACCTATTTAGTATGCTGAAGGAAGTTGGCTTCAGAATATGTTGAGTTGTGTATTAACGTGATTCTTTCCATGTTTAGGTTGCAAGGACAGCAGGAAGACCCCTGTCAACTGGAGAAATCTCCACTTTTCAGTCCTTTGTTTTCCTTGGTGGACAGCTCAGCCTGGCTCTCAGTGTGCTCCTGTGTCTGAATTACTACAGGTGGCAGACAAGTTATCTTCTGTTGCTTAGTTTCCTTCTTTGTCCTTGTTAAGGATGCAAATTGTGAACAGCAAATGTGCTGGGGTCAGAGGGGTTGAAGTCATGGAAGTAGTTCAGTACTTGTAGTTCAGTAGTTCAGCACGTGCAATGTCTTGGGATCTTTAGACCAGCAAGCAATAAGGTTGCTTTGTACTTTTTACAGTATCATCCTGGGAGCAGCCTCCTTGTCTCTTGTGGTCACCTACCCTCTGATGAAGAGAATAACATATTGGCCCCAGTTAGTTTTGGGTGAGTTGGAAACGTTTTCAGTTCCCTCCTTCTGATCTAGCTTTTGGGGAGTTCCCCCAATTAGGTAGTAATTGAGCTTCAGCAATCTGGTTTTATGCAACTATGTGTTAAAATCAGATTACCTTGCAGACAACATTCTGCTGTTCCAGAACCTTCTTAAGCAATGTATATCACATACAGGAGCTGTGTTCTGTCTCATTTTTTTATTCATGAACAGTCCTGTCTTTTGTAGTGTTGAGAGAGAGAATGAATGTTTGGCACTTGAGAAACAGCTCTACTTTAAGGGTTGTCTTTAAACCTTTCTTAAAAATACATTTGTTCAGTCTTCAGCCTCTACATCAAGTCCTATACTGAAGATGATGGCGCTTCCATTTCAGAGTGTGCCACTAACACATCTCCGTGTACCTTGGCCTCTTCACTCCGGCTGCCCTCAGCTTTATCAGCCAGAATTGCCTTTTTCAGCCTGGAAGTGCCATGCTTGGCTGCTGTGAACTCTTTTGTAGTCAATTTTGCAGACACTGAAGTGCATTGATGTCAGTGCAGTGGAATAATTTTGAGCAAATGCTTCCTTCGGATAACAAAATCAAATTTAAATGGGGGGAGAGTATGTAGCTGTGCATATTTCTCCTTATATCTCCGTAGTATTTAATTTCAAATTATGTCTATTACTTAACCTGACTGAAGCTATGAGCTAGAAAATAGAGATGCCAGTATTGTAGAAAAAGCTGCAGACACACCATATGCTTGAGCAAATGATAGTGAATTGTATATATGTAATTCAGACTGCTCCTATCACCTTTTTAACTTTTTTTCCTTTGGTTCTCTTTAGGACTTACGTTTAACTGGGGAGCCCTCCTTGGCTGGTCTGCCATCCAGGGGTCCTGCGACTGGTCTGTGTGCCTGCCCTTATACTTTGCTGGAGTCATGTGGACCCTGGTCTACGACACCATATATGCTCACCAGGTAGAGCAGCAGTGATGAACTTTACAGCTGTGTGTGTGTTTGTTTGCTTAATATACAGCCTTGGTTTCAAGTCGTTATGCTAACCTGCTGCGATTCTTCACCCTCAGATGACCACCAAAGGAAGCCCAGCCCTTGAACCTTTTATTGCTTTTTGCTAATGTTTTACATAGCAGATGAAAAGTGGGAAGTGTAAAGTGATTTTCATGCCCCCATGTCTGCACTGCATAAATAAATGTTCAGCTGGTATTAGCTATTGGCTGCTACCCCAGCTCTAAGGACCTACCTTTTAATTGGGATTTTAATTTGGGGACCTACAAATTCACTTAAATAGGGTTCCTATTAACAACAGTTGGAGGCTTTACAAAGGCTCCCCATTTTACTTTTCTTATGAAGTGGCAGTTAGATTATAGATGTTCTATTAATTGACCCTTTCATTCTAGGATAAGAGGGACGACATCATTATTGGTGTTAAGTCCACAGCATTGAAATTCAAGGAAGATACAAAACAGTGGCTCAGCGGCTTCAGCACAGCAATGGTCTCGGGTTTGTGTGTGGCAGGAATGAACTGTGACCAGACTTTCCCCTATTACTCAGCAGTGGCTGCTGTAGGTGCTCACCTAGCACATCAGGTTAGATGGATTCGTTTCTACTTTCTGTTCGTAGATGTTCTTGATAAGGAATCAGAGTGCTTTTCAACCTCTGGCAGTTTATCAAGTACATAAAAAACAATCGTCTTGTAAAATACCTGTGTAAAAATAATTTAAATCTTTTGACAAAAGCTTGCTTCTCATAAGTAACTTTTACAGACCTCTCTTTTGAAGTGACCTCCAGTGGTCCATAGGCTGTAGAGCACTCATTTTCAATCTGTTTCTAATAATTTCTGCCTCACCTTAAGCTGTGATGTCTTCCTGCTTCTGATAGCAGCTGCAGTTAGATCTACCTCAGTATCATGTATCTACGGTTTTCTCCTCACTACCTTCAGTAGCAAATGTCAATACTATAATTTCTTGATATCTGACAGTTTAATTCCCTTTTGTTTTTATAGCAGAAAAATAGTAAAGTTCTTGTACTTGCACAGGGTTACAAATTTTAATGTATATCAGGAAAAAAAAAAAGAAAATTGAGCCTGCCCATGAAGGAGGCAGATAGGATCTTGTTATCCAAATGACTGCATTCTCCAGTCTTGTGGCAAGTTAGTCCTTAGGAAAAGTAATTGCTGGCCTTTGCAGGTGAGTGGTAGTAACATAGCAGTAATACTGTCAACAATCTGAGAGGGGAAGAATGGAATTAATATGAAACTTGCTGTTTTAGGGCCCATTATATGTAAGTGACTCTTTAGCAGGAAAGTTCATGCAGCCCATAGGTACTAAACATATTTGTGGGTTATAAAACTCCTGCAATACTGTGGTCTGTTACCTGTCAGCAACTGCTTTCTGTAGGTATTGTGGAAATTCATGGAGGAAAGCATTCCACTTTTCACTGCAGAGTGGCCTCACATTGCTAGTTGTGGCACAAGTGAAAATTACCTTCCTGCAGAGTGGATTTTATTGGTGAAGGTGCAGGATGTAAGGGGCAAAGACAATAGCTAAGCCATACAAGCATGCCACAAAGTAGCTTTTCATCATAGAATGGCCTGGGTTGAAAAGGACCACAATGATCATCGAATTTCACCCCCCCTGCCATGGACAGGGTCTACAACCACCAGACCAGGCTGCTCAGACCCACATCCAGCCTGGCCTTGAATGCCTCCAGGGAGGGGGCATCCACAACCTCCTTGGGCAACCTGTTCCAGTGTGTCACCACCCCCTGAGTGAAAAACTTCCTCCTAATATCTAACCTAAACCTTCCCTGTCTCAGTTTAGAACCATTCCCCCTTGTCCTATCACTATCCATCCTTGTAAACAGCCATTCCCCCTCCTGTTTATATGCTCCCTTCAAGTACTGAAAGGCCACAATGAGGTCTCCCTGGAGCCTTCTCTTTCCAAGCTAAACAAGCCCAGTTCCCTCAACCTTTCTTTGTAGGAGAGGTGCTCCAGCCCTCTGATCATCTTAGTAGCCCTCCTAAGGACTATTCTAGTATTAGTTCTGCCTAAATTTTCACGTTGTTCAAGACTTCCAAACGCTTGCCTAACAGAGTTTAGAGAGCCTAATAAGCCATGTAAGGGATAGGTTTTCCTTAA